CTGTCATCACATTATTCACAATTAATTTTGCCTTTTGTTCTGAATAAATTGCACCTATACCATTTTCAAAACCTTGTCCTACCCCCATCCCCTGTAGATTCTTCTTCATAAAACTCCAAGAAATATTGTCAAAGGCTTTCTCTGCATCCACAAATATCAAGACTGCTTTAGTATTAATATTCACTTGTAGTTTTTCTAGAATATTAATTATATTCCTCGTATTGTCAGACAAATGTCTGCCCGGGAGAAAGCCCGCTTGGTCTGTATGAATTTCTTCTGCTAACACCTTTTTTAATCTTTTAGCCAAAATATCTGCGAAGATTTTGTAATCCACATTAAGCAGCGATATAGGGCGGTAGTTCTTGAGCTGTGTCTTTTCAGTCTCTGTTTTCGGTATAAGTGTAATGTAAGCTTCCTTCCACGACTCTGGTGCCTGTCTTCCTTCCAATATTTCATTGCAGACTTCCTTCAATGGTTGTATTAACCATTCTTTCAACGATCTGTAATATCTTGAAGTCAAACCATCTGGTCCTGGAGATTTGCCTAATGGCATGTTTTGGATGGCCCCTTCCACCTCCTGATCCGTTATCTTATAGTTCAACATTAACTGTTTTTCCTGAGAGATTTTATATAGTCCATTCATTTTTAAAAATTGTTCAATATCCATTTCTTTTTGCTTCTCTTGTGTATAAAGTTGTTTGAAGTATCTCTGAAAACACTTCCTAATCTCCACTGGGTTCTGTATATTCTTTCCTTCCACTTCCAAGTTCGTAATAGTATTGAGTTTTTGTCTTTTTTTCATCTGCCAGGCCAACAATTTTCCACACTTATTTGCCAATTCAAATGTCTTTTGCCTCATCTGTTTGATCTTCCATTCTATTTCCTGATTCATCAGCTTCATATATTGTGTTTGGTATAGCTTTATCTCTTTCAGGATCTCCTGTGACTGGTTTTGCTCTCAGTTTTCTCTCCTTCCTTTATTTTCCCCAGGTTTTTATCCTTTTTTTCATTCTGAATTCTCTTCTTAATTGCATTCTGTTGTATTAGGAATCCTCTCATAACCGCTTTGCTTGCGTCCCAAATTACTCTTTTTTCCACTGTAGTATTCATATTTATCTCAAAATAATCTCTTAGAGTTTTTTGGGCCTTCTTAGTCACCTCTTCATTCCTAAACAAAGTATCATTCATCCTCCATCTAAAGGAACCAATTGACGTCAATTTCATTTCCATCTTCACAGCATTATGGTCAGAGCAAGTTTTAGGGCAAATCTCCGTTTTGCAGATCTTCGAACCAGTCCCCTGGTTACCCAAATTTGGTCAATTCTTGTCCAAGTCATTTTAGCCTCAGAGAAAAAAGTTCCCTCTCTTCCCAGAGGGTTCTTCATTCTCCAAATGTCAACTAAGTCCAAACTTTCAGTCATGTCAAAAAAGGTTTTTGGTAGTCTACCATCTTTGGTGACTACCTGTCTCTGTGCCTTGTCCATATTTGTAGACACTACTCCATTCATGTCTCCCATCAAGATCATATTGTAGTCCATATAGTCCATCAAAGTCTCATGTAGCTTCTTAAAGAATTACGATTTTCCTTCATTTGGTGCATAAATACCTACAATCAGAAATTTCTCTCCTTGTAATTGAATTTCAATTGCAACAAATCTTCCTTGATCATCTTTAAATATGAATTTTGGTGATAGGCTCGCCTTTGCATAGAGGACCACTCCTCTTTTTTTAACTTTATCCGATGAAATAAATTCTTGGCCTAATCTTTTATTACTCAATATCTTCCTATGTAGCCTTATCACATGTGTTTCTTGTAAACAAATCAAGTCCAAATGCTCTTTTTTCAATAAATGAAATACTCTCTGCCTTTTTTCGGGGGAGTTCAGTCCATTCACATTCCAGCTCAAGACCTGCAACGCCATCATGAAGTTACTCTGGTACCCCCCCCCAACTGCACCCAATGCTTGCTCCTCTTCTGTTGGTAGTGGTGGTGACATTCACTGGGAGGTCCAATCCAAAGGATAATGTCGATATATCCAATGTTCCCCTGTTTGGTGATCTTCTGTCCAATGCTCTTTGCTCTGGTCCTCTATCTGGTGATCTTCTATCCAATGCTGTTGGCTCTTTTCCAATTCCCTTCTGCAGATCTTCTTCGTATTTAATCAAAAACTTTAGTTTTATCTTCTACTGATTTTATTTTTATTTTCCTTCCTTTGAAACTGAAAGATAGGCCTTGGGGAACTCCCACCTAAAGATGATTTTATTCCTTCTCAGCAGAGCAACAATATCTCCGTAGTTGGATCTAAGATCCAAAAGGTATTTTGGAACGTCTTTAAAAATTTCCACTCTTGACTAATGTATTTCTAGATTCTTCTGGTAGTGCCAACCCAAAATTTTGTCTCTCTCTTCTTTGGTCCGGAGGAAATCAAACAGTCTCTTGTTCTATTCTTCTCTTTCTTTCCTCCTCTTCCAAGTCTAAATGCCCTCACAATTCTAAACTCTTCTTGACCCAAGTCCAATTCCCAAAAATCAGCAAATTCCTGTGTAAGAAAATCTATCAAGCTTTCCTTCTCCAATTCCGGTATGGCTCTAATCCTCAAATTTGTCTGTTTTTCTTTAAGTTCAATCATAGCAAGAGTCACCTTGTGTTCATCAAGTTGCCTCTGTAGGATTGGAACTACCTATTTCTCCAATTGAGTTACTTTACAATCAGCTGCAGCTGCCTTCTCCCTAGCTTCCTCCGCAGTCTGCCGTGTCAAAGTAGATTCCTGTATCAATTTCTGAATGGATTCTGTATTGGTGTTCACCTTTTGTCCCAAGTTATTTATACTTTCTGTATTTAAAACAATTTTATTAGTTGCAGTATCCACTTTCTTATTAAGCTGTTCCAGTGAATTACCGTATTTTTCGCACCATAGGACGCACCGGCCCATAGGACGCATCAAGTTTTTTGGGGGGGAAATAAAGAAAAAAAATTATTTCCCCCCCAGGCGCTTGTGGGGCCGGCAGCGGGGAGAAGCGCTCTTCTCCCCGCAGTCCGCCTGCCGATCAGGTCCGGGGACAGCAGGCCGACGCGCTGCGTCTCCCAGCTGTCCCCGGAGCTTGCGGGGCAGGCAGCGGGGAGAAGCGCTCTTCTCCCTGCCGCCCGCCTTCAGATCAGGTCCGGGGACAGCAGGAAGACGCGCTGCGCCTCCCAGCTGTCCCCGGAGCTTGGGGGCAGGCAGCGGGGAGAAGCGCTCTTCTCTGCCGCCCGCCTTGCGACAGGTCCGGGACAGCGGGAAGACGCGCTGCGCTCCCAGCTGTCCCCGGAGCTGGGGCAGGCAGCGGAGAGCGCTCTCCCTGCCGCCCGCCTGATCAGGTCCGGGACAGCGGAAGACGCGCTGCGTCTCCCAGCTGTCCCCGGAGCTTGGGGGCAGGCAGCGGGGAGAAGCGCTCTTCTCCCTGCCGCCCGCCTTGCGATCAGGTCCGGGGACAGCGAGGAGACGCGCTGCATCTCCCAGCTGTCCCCGGAGCTTGGGGGCAGGCAGCGGGAGAAGCGCTCTTCTCCCTGCCGCCCGCCTTGCGATCAGGTCCGGGGACAGCGGGGAGACGCGCTGCGTCTCCCAGCTGTCCCCGGAGCTTGCGGGGCCGGCGGCGGGGTCTCCCCGCCGTCAGCCTCCAAACCACTTCGGGAGACAGCGGGATGGCGGCGTTCTGCCTCCCTCTGTCCCCCGACCTTGTGGGGCTGGCGCTGGGGCTCTCCTGAAGCCTGGAGAGCGAGAGGGTCGGTGCGCACCGACCCCTCTCGCTCTCCAGGCTTCAGTGAAAGCCTGCATTCGCACCATAGGACGCACACACATTTCCCCTTCATTTTTGGAGGGGAAAAAGTGCGTCCTATAGTGCGAAAAATACGGTATTTATCTTACTTAATGCAACTGCTAGAGCCTCTTCTGTCGACATTCCTTTTGATTTTAAATGTACTTATGCAGAAACAGCAGCCGCAGAAGAGGCAGAGGGGCCTGATGTTGAAGCTCTCCTGGGTTGCTGCCAAGACTTACCGGATCTCAATGTTCCCCCAGCTGCTGGCTGTTCTGTTTTTCCCTTTTCATTTGCCATAACACTTAACAAATTCAAGGTCAGTCCCAAAGTCTCACGGTTTCTTATCTTGTGACTGGAAATTCCCCTAGCCCAGCTCTTATAAAGCAACCAATTTTAAAGACTTCCACTAGGGAGAAACAGTTTCTATTTGTAATAGTCAATTAGTATCCTCTTTCAAACACAAATCCGGAGTTATTTTCAATTTTTCAGTTACTTTTACTCCTTTTTAGTAACAGCCGGAGACAATAGAAACAATGTATTTCTCTTATTTTGCTAGCTGTCAAAGAACGTTCTAAGCGCTGTCAATGAACATTCCAAAACGTCGGTCCTGCTAGCAGCCCATTTCCAGGGTCAGAGCGGCAGTATTTTTACTCTCATCACTCTCTCCTGCAGGTATACTCTGTCCACAACTCCCCCCCCCCTTCTCCTGCCACCAAGGGGGGGTTTTATACTCTTTTCCGATGGAAATTTAGTCTTTTACAAAAGGCTTTCCAAGACTTTAGCTTGCAGCCTTATTGCTTCCGTCTATTTACAAATGGGGAAGGCGGACTTCCTGTCTTGAACCTCCCCCGTTTCGATGCCAAATTAAACTTTTAAAGTCCAATTCTCCCTCTTCCGCTCTACTCACGGATAGTTACTTTGAAGTCAAATTGTCCACAGAAAAAGTCAGTGCTCTCCGGCCACAGCTATGCGGCTTCGCTCCGTGGAAGAAGCAGACGATTCGAAGCACCGCGCCGCTCACCCCACTTCACTCCGGATCCCCGAAACCGAGTTTCCCCGCGAGTAGGGGAGGCGCAAAAGGTGCCCGCCGAATCCCACGCTCACAGGCTTCTCCTGTTTTCTTTAGTTTGTTTGGGAGGAGTGGGTATGCTGTGGTGCAGGTATTTTCAATTGTGTCCCTCTCTAGGTGTACCCATTGTTTTGTCTCATCTTCGGGTATATATGGGATTATATGGCGTATTTGGTTGGCAATGTAATATGCTTCTATGTTGGGGATTCCCCATCCTCCTTCTGAGGTGGGGAGGTGCAGGTATTTGGAGCTTATTCTTGGTTTTTTATGTGAGAAGATAAAAGAGTGTAGTTTTCTCTGCCAACTGCGGAGTTGGGTTGGGGGGATCCAGATTGGGAGGGTTTGGAATAGGTAGGTTAGTTTTGGGAGGGTGATCATTTTGATCATGGCTATTTTGTCTGAGAGAGTGAAATTCATGTTATTCCATCTCTTTAGGTCTTTGTTAATTTGTCGCCACAGGGGCTTGTAGTTGTGGAGGTACAATTTATTGAGGTTTCTGGTTATTTGTACCCCTAGGTATCTGAACTTGGTGAGGCAAAGTTTTATTTTGGTGACCTTGGTGAGTTCTTTTCTTGAGCAGATTGATTTATTGCTCAGATAAGCCTGACGTCCGGCACGCTTCGGCTGCACAGCTCTTGCCGGCCAGGCCTCTGCATTCCAAAGGCTGGGCCATAGTGAGTTAGACGGCTGAGAAAAGAAGAAAAAAAGCAAACATTAGGAAAAGAGGGGTGGGAAGTCAAAAAGAAATCATTTTTTTTCTGTAGAGGATGCTAAATGTTTTGGAATGTTTGGAAGATTTAATAAAACTGTTATAGGAAAAATGGTGATGGGTTGCTTCTCTTATCAGTCCCTTCTCTGGGTTTCTTCTCAGCCATCGGAAGCACTTCCTGCACCCTCCCTTGGCCAACTGGTGGCGATTTCCTGTCTTTGTGCACTGGATCAAGACCCGGAGAGCAGGCAGAGGGCAGCAAAGGCTCTCTGCCATCTTCTGCCCATCCTGCGGCACAACGAAGGTAAGACTGGAAGAATGCATCCCAGCATGGGGTGGGGGTGAGCAAGACCCAAACTAACCCTTTGGCTTTCCTTTGCAGAGACACTGGCAGGAACGTTAAGGAACCAAATACTTATCACCAGAGCTGAGAAGGTCCTCAAATCCACCGGAGGACCGGTTCCTGAACTGTTCGTGAATAATTGTTACTCTCTTGCCAGGGTAAGTCGCTGTCTCTCAAGCCACATGTTCTGGGTTCTGCAGAGGCAGCACCTGGGCTTTCTGCTCCCCAGCCCTGCCCTGTGGGCATCTCTGACCTTCCTCTCTCGCTTCGGGTCTTTGGCGCCTTTCTCCCTGCGGAGCAGCTCTTGGAGGCCATGTGCTTCCTGGCCAGAGACCTGGTTGTCGAGAGCAGCTTCAACCCACTGGATATCTCCCACTTACTGCAAGATTTCATCAAGCAGTTTGGCGGCACAAAAGTGGAGGTAAGGCGTCTGCAAAGGTAGGAGAGAAGCAGATTCTCTGCTTGGTGTAGGGGAGGCCACCTCATGCCATTGGGTGGCCAGGACACATGTTAGTTGAGAGGGGCCTGGCAATGTCAGGACAAGAACCTCAGCCAAGGGTCCTGAGAAACATGGCTTCAGGAATGGGGAATTCTCCTCCTTCTGGCGCCCTGGAGCTGCCTGGGTCCAATACTCCCCAGGACCCTGAGTGGTACCTTGGAAGGAAGAGGCTGTGGTGGCACAGGTCAAGGGTCCCTCTTTCAATGAGGGATGGAGGGATCCGCCTGCAGACAGCCCCGCTTCCTTGTACTCTCCAAGCAACTCTCTCCTTTTCTCTGACAGGTGAAGGTGCTGCTGGAGGCCTTCTGTAAGATCAGCCAGGGGCCTACAGCGGAAGGCAGAAGTATGGCCGTCTTCTCGTTGTCCATCTTGTCGCACCACCACCTGGCGAAAGTGGTGCAATATCTCCTCCAGTTTCTCTTCGGGTATGGAGCCCTCCAGGTTGTACTGGGCTAAGGGGAAGGTTGGCAAGCTGCAGGGCTTGCTCAGAAAGCCCTTGCTGCCATTTCCTCTCTCTGGAGCATGGCAGCAAGCAGAAGACTTGAATCTGACCATTGCTTTTGTTTTTGCATTCACAGAGACTTTGAGAGAGTTTGGAAGGAGGTTTTAGCATCGGCCGATCCAGAAAAGCTAATCCATCTCATGGCCAAGCAGATTTACCAAAGCCCCTTGGTGGAATCTGCCACCAAAGTGGTAAGGACCAACCACCTGCTTTCTGGCTTCCTTCTTCCCAGGGTAATATCGAGGGGTTCCTGTATTCTGCAGAAAAGCAGAGAAAGTGACTTGCACCCCTCTCTCTTCCAGCAACATCTCACCAGCCTGTTACACGCCATCCTCAGGATGGAGGACTACAAGGCAGCTGTGCGCCACAACTTCCCACAGCTGCTGATCGCTCTCCTGGGGATGGTTATCAACTTCCACTATGATCAGGAATTCCTCGGGTGAGTAGTGTGATGCAAAGGGACCAATGAAGTCCTTTCCCCTTCAACCTCGGGGGGTTTCCAGTCCAGCTTGGTTTTCCAAGGGAGGCTCTCCTTCAGGCGGCTGCTAGGGAGGAAGGACGGGGAAAGAATTTGAGTGTGTGCCAATGACCCTCCTGGTAAAACTGGTCTTGCTTTGGTTCCAGAGGGGCTAAGGAAGTTCTGCACCTCCTTCTTGGCACCACTGGAGAGCAAGTGGAGGCGGCCATCGTTGACCAACTTTTCTGCCGGGAGACTTTCAGCCAGGGGTTGTCTGCCATGGTGAGGTAAGAGGAAGAACGCGGTGACCTTCCCCAGTGGTCTGGCAAACGGAGCTGAAGGCACGGGATCGGACTGTGCCCCTGTTTGCTTCCTGCAGTGTCTTTCCCTTCCTTACCAAGATCTGCTTCTCCATTTCAGAGCTGTCGGAAAGCGACGCTGGTGGATCCCTCCCATGGTGGAAAGCATCATCGCTGCTCTCGGGGACCAGGATTTTGCCGGGATGCCACAAGTCGCGGCAGCTATCTACATCGAGGTGAGGGGGACTGACGCGGGAGGAAATGGGTGCAGCAAGGAGGTCCTGGCTTGGTTTCTGCCGAGTGTTGGGCTACTTTGAGCCTAAGGACTGTTGCCTGTTTTAGTGCTCCTCAGAGTAGACCCATTGGATTTGATGTACATGGCAAACTTTGGTCCATTCACTTCAGTGGGTTTGCTCTGTGCAGAATTGCAAATGGTGGGTAAAAGGAGAACCTGCCTCAGCCTCTCATCACTGAAGGGTTTCTTTCTCTTTGGGGCTCTTTAGCTGCTCAGCTGCCGTCTGGAGGTCTATCCCTGTGAAGATACGCTGGAGCGGCTCCTCAACTGGCTGGAACACGACTACCTGCAAGTCCGGAAGCTCAGCGTCAGAGGGATATCCCTGCTTCTGGACTCTGACATGGCAAGTGATGCTCAGAGGGAGGGAGGGGGGGTACAGATCTCGATTCTAATCATGGCCCAGCACTCTTTTGCTGGCACAATACTGAAGGGCCTGTGCTAAAAGGCATGAGGCCTTTCAGACCTTTGAAAAGATTCTCTCTTTTGTGTAGGACCCTTCGCTTCTGCGGCTCTTGCTGCTGGATTCCCTCTCTTATGTAGAAGCTGATGTCCTCCCAGAATTGATAGAGCTGGTAGACCAAGCCTACCATTCCAGGGAGCTGGAAGAGGAAGACCTGAATATGCTGGCAGAAACCTACTGCGGCCTGGCTGCCCATGTGAGTATGAGGGGAAACATGACATCACACCCGGTGGTGGAGGAATGCTTTGGAAGAGGAAGGGTGGGGTTTAGACTGGCATGCAGCGGAGATGTTCTGGCTTCAGGAGGCTGTTCCTCTGGAAAGTGATCTGATGAGAAACACAACCTCTGATATTTTCTGCCTATAGGAGGAAGCCTCCGTCCGGGCATCAGCCATCGAACATCTGGGGCTGCTTCGGGGCTGGGTGAGAGACCAAAGACTTCCCATTACAACAACAGAAGAGGAAGCCATTCACAAACTGCTTGTGGTCCTCATTCACCTCGAAGATGAGGACGAAGTGGCCAAGGTGAGGGCCAAAGAGGTGGACTTATGCAGTAGGAGGGAGGGATTGTTCTCAGGAGCTTCCGAGACTATGTACTGCAATTTGTAACCCTCTTCTCTTCTTGTGTTGCAGGCCGCAAGGAGGGCTCTTTCCCATCTAGCCCCAGAAGTCAAGTGGTGGGCTCGTTCCAACAAATTTAGCCTCCACTTTGCTCTCCACCAGGCTGCCAAGCATATGGTAAGGTCCCTGCTCTCAAGACCCGGAGAGCAGGCAGAGGGCAGCAAAGGCTCTCTGCCATCTTCTGCCCATCCTGCGGCACAACGAAGGTAAGACTGGAAGAATGCATCCCAGCATGGGGTGGGGGTGAGCAAGACCCAAACTAACCCTTTGGCTTTCCTTTGCAGAGACACTGGCAGGAACGTTAAGGAACCAAATACTTATCACCAGAGCTGAGAAGGTCCTCAAATCCACCGGAGGACCGGTTCCTGAACTGTTCGTGAATAATTGTTACTCTCTTGCCAGGGTAAGTCGCTGTCTCTCAAGCCACATGTTCTGGGTTCTGCAGAGGCAGCACCTGGGCTTTCTGCTCCCCAGCCCTGCCCTGTGGGCATCTCTGACCTTCCTCTCTCGCTTCGGGTCTTTGGCGCCTTTCTCCCTGCGGAGCAGCTCTTGGAGGCCATGTGCTTCCTGGCCAGAGACCTGGTTGTCGAGAGCAGCTTCAACCCACTGGATATCTCCCACTTACTGCAAGATTTCATCAAGCAGTTTGGCGGCACAAAAGTGGAGGTAAGGCGTCTGCAAAGGTAGGAGAGAAGCAGATTCTCTGCTTGGTGTAGGGGAGGCCACCTCATGCCATTGGGTGGCCAGGACACATGTTAGTTGAGAGGGGCCTGGCAATGTCAGGACAAGAACCTCAGCCAAGGGTCCTGAGAAACATGGCTTCAGGAATGGGGAATTCTCCTCCTTCTGGCGCCCTGGAGCTGCCTGGGTCCAATACTCCCCAGGACCCTGAGTGGTACCTTGGAAGGAAGAGGCTGTGGTGGCACAGGTCAAGGGTCCCTCTTTCAATGAGGGATGGAGGGATCCGCCTGCAGACAGCCCCGCTTCCTTGTACTCTCCAAGCAACTCTCTCCTTTTCTCTGACAGGTGAAGGTGCTGCTGGAGGCCTTCTGTAAGATCAGCCAGGGGCCTACAGCGGAAGGCAGAAGTATGGCCGTCTTCTCGTTGTCCATCTTGTCGCACCACCACCTGGCGAAAGTGGTGCAATATCTCCTCCAGTTTCTCTTCGGGTATGGAGCCCTCCAGGTTGTACTGGGCTAAGGGGAAGGTTGGCAAGCTGCAGGGCTTGCTCAGAAAGCCCTTGCTGCCATTTCCTCTCTCTGGAGCATGGCAGCAAGCAGAAGACTTGAATCTGACCATTGCTTTTGTTTTTGCATTCACAGAGACTTTGAGAGAGTTTGGAAGGAGGTTTTAGCATCGGCCGATCCAGAAAAGCTAATCCATCTCATGGCCAAGCAGATTTACCAAAGCCCCTTGGTGGAATCTGCCACCAAAGTGGTAAGGACCAACCACCTGCTTTCTGGCTTCCTTCTTCCCAGGGTAATATCGAGGGGTTCCTGTATTCTGCAGAAAAGCAGAGAAAGTGACTTGCACCCCTCTCTCTTCCAGCAACATCTCACCAGCCTGTTACACGCCATCCTCAGGATGGAGGACTACAAGGCAGCTGTGCGCCACAACTTCCCACAGCTGCTGATCGCTCTCCTGGGGATGGTTATCAACTTCCACTATGATCAGGAATTCCTCGGGTGAGTAGTGTGATGCAAAGGGACCAATGAAGTCCTTTCCCCTTCAACCTCGGGGGGTTTCCAGTCCAGCTTGGTTTTCCAAGGGAGGCTCTCCTTCAGGCGGCTGCTAGGGAGGAAGGACGGGGAAAGAATTTGAGTGTGTGCCAATGACCCTCCTGGTAAAACTGGTCTTGCTTTGGTTCCAGAGGGGCTAAGGAAGTTCTGCACCTCCTTCTTGGCACCACTGGAGAGCAAGTGGAGGCGGCCATCGTTGACCAACTTTTCTGCCGGGAGACTTTCAGCCAGGGGTTGTCTGCCATGGTGAGGTAAGAGGAAGAACGCGGTGACCTTCCCCAGTGGTCTGGCAAACGGAGCTGAAGGCACGGGATCGGACTGTGCCCCTGTTTGCTTCCTGCAGTGTCTTTCCCTTCCTTACCAAGATCTGCTTCTCCATTTCAGAGCTGTCGGAAAGCGACGCTGGTGGATCCCTCCCATGGTGGAAAGCATCATCGCTGCTCTCGGGGACCAGGATTTTGCCGGGATGCCACAAGTCGCGGCAGCTATCTACATCGAGGTGAGGGGGACTGACGCGGGAGGAAATGGGTGCAGCAAGGAGGTCCTGGCTTGGTTTCTGCCGAGTGTTGGGCTACTTTGAGCCTAAGGACTGTTGCCTGTTTTAGTGCTCCTCAGAGTAGACCCATTGGATTTGATGTACATGGCAAACTTTGGTCCATTCACTTCAGTGGGTTTGCTCTGTGCAGAATTGCAAATGGTGGGTAAAAGGAGAACCTGCCTCAGCCTCTCATCACTGAAGGGTTTCTTTCTCTTTGGGGCTCTTTAGCTGCTCAGCTGCCGTCTGGAGGTCTATCCCTGTGAAGATACGCTGGAGCGGCTCCTCAACTGGCTGGAACACGACTACCTGCAAGTCCGGAAGCTCAGCGTCAGAGGGATATCCCTGCTTCTGGACTCTGACATGGCAAGTGATGCTCAGAGGGAGGGAGGGAGGGGGGGTACAGATCTTGATTCTAATCATGGCCCAGCACTCTTTTGCTGGCACAATACTGAAGGGCCTGTGCTAAAAGGCATGAGGCCTTTCAGACCTTTGAAAAGATTCTCTCTTTGGGTAGGACCCTTCGCTTCTGCGGCTCTTGCTGCTGGATTCCCTCTCTTATGTAGAAGCTGATGTCCTCCCAGAATTGATAGAGCTGGTAGACCAAGCCTACCATTCCAGGGAGCTGGAAGAGGAAGACCTGAATATGCTGGCAGAAACCTACTGCGGCCTGGCTGCCCATGTGAGTATGAGGGGAAACATGACATCACACCCGGTGGTGGAGGAATGCTTTGGAAGAGGAAGGGTGGGGTTTAGACTGGCATGCAGCGGAGATGTTCTGGCTTCAGGAGGCTGTTCCTCTGGAAAGTGATCTGATGAGAAACACAACCTCTGATATTTTCTGCCTATAGGAGGAAGCCTCCGTCCGGGCATCAGCCATCGAACATCTGGGGCTGCTTCGGGGCTGGGTGAGAGACCAAAGACTTCCCATTACAACAACAGAAGAGGAAGCCATTCACAAACTGCTTGTGGTCCTCATTCACCTCGAAGATGAGGACGAAGTGGCCAAGGTGAGGGCCAAAGAGGTGGACTTATGCAGTAGGAGGGAGGGATTGTTCTCAGGAGCTTCCGAGACTATGTACTGCAATTTGTAACCCTCTTCTCTTCTTGTGTTGCAGGCCGCAAGGAGGGCTCTTTCCCATCTAGCCCCAGAAGTCAAGTGGTGGGCTCGTTCCAACAAATTTAGCCTCCACTTTGCTCTCCACCAGGCTGCCAAGCATATGGTAAGGTCCCTGCTCTCAAGACCCGGAGAGCAGGCAGAGGGCAGCAAAGGCTCTCTGCCATCTTCTGCCCATCCTGCGGCACAACGAAGGTAAGACTGGAAGAATGCATCCCAGCATGGGGTGGGGGTGAGCAAGACCCAAACTAACCCTTTGGCTTTCCTTTGCAGAGACACTGGCAGGAACGTTAAGGAACCAAATACTTATCACCAGAGCTGAGAAGGTCCTCAAATCCACCGGAGGACCGGTTCCTGAACTGTTCGTGAATAATTGTTACTCTCTTGCCAGGGTAAGTCGCTGTCTCTCAAGCCACATGTTCTGGGTTCTGCAGAGGCAGGACCTGGGCTTTCTGCTCCCCAGCCCTGCCCTGTGGGCATCTCTGACCTTCCTCTCTCGCTTCGGGTCTTTGGCGCCTTTCTCCCTGCGGAGCAGCTCTTGGAGGCCATGTGCTTCCTGGCCAGAGACCTGGTTGTCGAGAGCAGCTTCAACCCACTGGATATCTCCCACTTACTGCAAGATTTCATCAAGCAGTTTGGCGGCACAAAAGTGGAGGTAAGGCGTCTGCAAAGGTAGGAGAGAAGCAGATTCTCTGCTTGGTGTAGGGGAGGCCACCTCATGCCATTGGGTGGCCAGGACACATGTTAGTTGAGAGGGGCCTGGCAATGTCAGGACAAGAACCTCAGCCAAGGGTCCTGAGAAACATGGCTTCAGGAATGGGGAATTCTCCTCCTTCTGGCGCCCTGGAGCTGCCTGGGTCCAATACTCCCCAGGACCCTGAGTGGTACCTTGGAAGGAAGAGGCTGTGGTGGCACAGGTCAAGGGTCCCTCTTTCAATGAGGGATGGAGGGATCCGCCTGCAGACAGCCCCGCTTCCTTGTACTCTCCAAGCAACTCTCTCCTTTTCTCTGACAGGTGAAGGTGCTGCTGGAGGCCTTCTGTAAGATCAGCCAGGGGCCTACAGCGGAAGGCAGAAGTATGGCCGTCTTCTCGTTGTCCATCTTGTCGCACCACCACCTGGCGAAAGTGGTGCAATATCTCCTCCAGTTTCTCTTCGGGTATGGAGCCCTCCAGGTTGTACTGGGCTAAGGGGAAGGTTGGCAAGCTGCAGGGCTTGCTCAGAAAGCCCTTGCTGCCATTTCCTCTCTCTGGAGCATGGCAGCAAGCAGAAGACTTGAATCTGACCATTGCTTTTGTTTTTGCATTCACAGAGACTTTGAGAGAGTTTGGAAGGAGGTTTTAGCATCGGCCGATCCAGAAAAGCTAATCCATCTCATGGCCAAGCAGATTTACCAAAGCCCCTTGGTGGAATCTGCCACCAAAGTGGTAAGGACCAACCACCTGCTTTCTGGCTTCCTTCTTCCCAGGGTAATATCGAGGGGTTCCTGTATTCTGCAGAAAAGCAGAGAAAGTGACTTGCACCCTCTCTCTTCCAGCAACATCTCACCAGCCTGTTACACGCCATCCTCAGGATGGAGGACTACAAGGCAGCTGTGCGCCACAACTTCCCACAGCTGCTGATCGCTCTCCTGGGGATGGTTATCAACTTCCACTATGATCAGGAATTCCTCGGGTGAGTAGTGTGATGCAAAGGGACCAATGAAGTCCTTTCCCTTCAACCTCGGGGGGTTTCCAGTCCAGCTTGGTTTTCCAAGGGAGGCTCTCCTTCAGGCGGCTGCTAGGGAGGAAGGACGGGGAAAGAATTTGAGTGTGTGCCAATGACCCTCCTGGTAAAACTGGTCTTGCTTTGGTTCCAGAGGGGCTAAGGAAGTTCTGCACCTCCTTCTTGGCACCACTGGAGAGCAAGTGGAGGCGGCCATCGTTGACCAACTTTTCTGCCGGGAGACTTTCAGCCAGGGGTTGTCTGCCATGGTGAGGTAAGAGGAAGAACGCGGTGACCTTCCCCAGTGGTCTGGCAAACGGAGCTGAAGGCACGGGATCGGACTGTGCCCCTGTTTGCTTCCTGCAGTGTCTTTCCCTTCCTTACCAAGATCTGCTTCTCCATTTCAGAGCTGTCGGAAAGCGACGCTGGTGGATCCCTCCCATGGTGGAAAGCATCATCGCTGCTCTCGGGACCAGGATTTTGCCGGGATGCCACAAGTCGCGGCAGCTATCTACATCGAGGTGAGGGGGACTGACGCGGGAGGAAATGGGTGCAGCAAGGAGGTCCTGGCTTGGTTTCTGCCGAGTGTTGGGCTACTTTGAGCCTAAGGACTGTTGCCTGTTTTAGTGCTCCTCAGAGTAGACCCATTGGATTTGATGTACATGGCAAACTTTGGTCCATTCACTTCAGTGGGTTTGCTCTGTGCAGAATTGCAAATGGTGGGTAAAAGGAGAACCTGCCTCAGCCTCTCATCACTGAAGGGTTTCTTTCTCTTTGGGGCTCTTTAGCTGCTCAGCTGCCGTCTGGAGGTCTATCCCTGTGAAGATACGCTGGAGCGGCTCCTCAACTGGCTGGAACACGACTACCTGCAAGTCCGGAAGCTCAGCGTCAGAGGGATATCCCTGCTTCTGGACTCTGACATGGCAAGTGATGCTCAGAGGGAGGGAGGGAGGGGGGGTACAGATCTTGATTCTAATCATGGCCCAGCACTCTTTTGCTGGCACAATACTGAAGGGCCTGTGCTAAAAGGCATGAGGCCTTTCAGACCTTTGAAAAGATTCTCTTTTGTGTAGGACCCTTCGCTTCTGCGGCTCTTGCTGCTGGATTCCCTCTCTTATGTAGAAGCTGATGTCCTCCCAGAATTGATAGAGCTGGTAGACCAAGCCTACCATCCCAGGGAGCTGGAAGAGGAAGACCTGAATATGCTGGCAGAAACCTACTGCGGCCTGGCTGCCCATGTGAGTATGAGGGGAAACATGACATCACACCCGGTGGTGGAGGAATGCTTTGGAAGAGGAAGGGTGGGGTTTAGACTGGCATGCAGCGGAGATGTTCTGGCTTCAGGAGGCTGTTCCTCTGGAAAGTGATCTGATGAGAAACACAACCTCTGATATTTTCTGCCTATAGGAGGAAGCCTCCGTCCGGGCATCAGCCATCGAACATCTGGGGCTGCTTCGGGGCTGGGTGAGAGACCAAAGACTTCCCATTACAACAACAGAAGAGGAAGCCATTCACAAACTGCTTGTGGTCCTCATTCACCTCGAAGATGAGGACGAAGTGGCCAAGGTGAGGGCCAAAGAGGTGGACTTATGCAGTAGGAGGGAGGGATTGTTCTCAGGAGCTTCCGAGACTATGTACTGCAATTTGTAACCCTCTTCTCTTCTTGTGTTGCAGGCCGCAAGGAGGGCTCTTTCCCATCTAGCCCCAGAAGTCAAGTGGTGGGCTCGTTCCAACAAATTTAGCCTCCACTTTGCTCTCCACCAGGCTGCCAAGCATATGGTAAGGTCCCTGCTCTCAAGACCCGGAGAGCAGGCAGAGGGCAGCAAAGGCTCTCTGCCATCTTCTGCCCATCCTGCGGCACAACGAAGGTAAGACTGGAAGAATGCATCCCAGCATGGGGTGGGGGTGAGCAAGACCCAAACTAACCCTTTGGCTTTCCTTTGCAGAGACACTGGCAGGAACGTTAAGGAACCAAATACTTATCACCAGAGCTGAGAAGGTCCTCAAATCCACCGGAGGACCGGTTCCTGAACTGTTCGTGAATAATTGTTACTCTCTTGCCAGGGTAAGTCGCTGTCTCTCAAGCCACATGTTCTGGGTTCTGCAGAGGCAGCACCTGGGCTTTCTGCTCCCCAGCCCTGCCCTGTGGGCATCTCTGACCTTCCTCTCTCGCTTCGGGTCTTTGGCGCCTTTCTCCTGCGGAGCAGCTCTTGGAGGCCATGTGCTTCCTGGCCAGAGACCTGGTTGTCGAGAGCAGCTTCAACCCACTGGATATCTCCCACTTACTGCAAGATTTCATCAAGCAGTTTGGCGGCACAAAAGTGGAGGTAAGGCGTCTGCAAAGGTAGGAGAGAAGCAGATTCTCTGCTTGGTGTAGGGGAGGCCACCTCATGCCATTGGGTGGCCAGGACACATGTTAGTTGAGAGGGGCCTGGCAATGTCAGGACAAGAACCTCAGCCAAGGGTCCTGAGAAACATGGCTTCAGGAATGGGGAATTCTCCTCCTTCTGGCGCCCTGGAGCTGCCTGGGTCCAATACTCCCCAGGACCCTGAGTGGTACCTTGGAAGGAAGAGGCTGTGGTGGCACAGGTCAAGGGTCCCTCTTTCAATGAGGGATGGAGGGATCCGCCTGCAGACAGCCCCGCTTCCTTGTACTCTCCAAGCAACTCTCTCCTTTTCTCTGACAGGTGAAGGTGCTGCTGGAGGCCTTCTGTAAGATCAGCCAGGGGCCTACAGCGGAAGGCAGAAGTATGGCCGTCTTCTCGTTGTCCATCTTGTCGCACCACCACCTGGCGAAAGTGGTGCAATATCTCCTCCAGTTTCTCTTCGGGTATGGAGCCCTCCAGGTTGTACTGGGCTAAGGGGAAGGTTGGCAAGCTGCAGGGCTTGCTCAGAAAGCCCTTGCTGCCATTTCCTCTCTCTGGAGCATGGCAGCAAGCAGAAGACTTGAATCTGACCATTGCTTTTGTTTTTGCATTCACAGAGACTTTGAGAGAGTTTGGAAGGAGGTTTTAGCATCGGCCGATCCAGAAAAGCTAATCCATCTCATGGCCAAGCAGATTTACCAAAGCCCCTTGGTGGAATCTGCCACCAAAGTGGTAAGGACCAACCACCTGCTTTCTGGCTTCCTTCTTCCCAGGGTAATATCGAGGGGTTCCTGTATTCTGCAGAAAAGCAGAGAAAGTGACTTGCACCCTCTCTCTTCCAGCAACATCTCACCAGCCTGTTACACGCCATCCTCAGGATGGAGGACTACAAGGCAGCTGTGCGCCACAACTTCCCACAGCTGCTGATCGCTCTCCTGGGGATGGTTATCAACTTCCACTATGATCAGGAATTCCTCGGGTGAGTAGTGTGATGCAAAGGGACCAATGAAGTCCTTCCCCTTCAACCTCGGGGGGTTTCCAGTCCAGCTTGGTTTTCCAAGGGAGGCTCTCCTTCAGGCGGCTGCTAGGGAGGAAGGACGGGGAAAGAATTTGAGTGTGTGCCAATGACCCTCCTGGTAAAACTGGTCTTGCTTTGGTTCCAGAGGGGCTAAGGAAGTTCTGCACCTCCTTCTTGGCACCACTGGAGAGCAAGTGGAGGCGGCCATCGTTGACCAACTTTTCTGCCGGGAGACTTTCAGCCAGGGGTTGTCTGCCATGGTGAGGTAAGAGGAAGAACGCGGTGACCTTCCCCAGTGGTCTGGCAAACGGAGCTGAAGGCACGGGATCGGACTGTGCCCCTGTTTGCTTCCTGCAGTGTCTTTCCCTTCCTTACCAAGATCTGCTTCTCCATTTCAGAGCTGTCGGAAAGCGACGCTGGTGGATCCCTCCCATGGTGGAAAGCATCATCGCTGCTCTCGGGGACCAGGATTTTGCCGGGATGCCACAAGTCGCGGCAGCTATCTACATCGAGGTGAGGGGGACTGACGCGGGAGGAAATGGGTGCAGCAAGGAGGTCCTGGCTTGGTTTCTGCCGAGTGTTGGGCTACTTTGAGCCTAAGGACTGTTGCCTGTTTTAGTGCTCCTCAGAGTAGACCCATTGGATTTGATGTACATGGCAAACTTTGGTCCATTCACTTCAGTGGGTTTGCTCTGTGCAGAATTGCAAATGGTGGGTAAAAGGAGAACCTGCCTCAGCCTCTCATCACTGAAGGGTTTCTTTCTCTTTGGGGCTCTTTAGCTGCTCAGCTGCCGTCTGGAGGTCTATCCCTGTGAAGATACGCTGGAGCGGCTCCTCAACTGGCTGGAACACGACTACCTGCAAGTCCGGAAGCTCAGCGTCAGAGGGATATCCCTGCTTCTGGACTCTGACATGGCAAGTGATGCTCAGAGGGAGGGAGGGAGGGGGGGTACAGATCTTGATTCTAATCATGGCCCAGCACTCTTTTGCTGGCACAATACTGAAGGGCCTGTGCTAAAAGGCATGAGGCCTTTCAGACCTTTGAAAAGATTCTCTCTTTGTGTAGGACCCTTCGCTTCTGCGGCTCTTGCTGCTGGATTCCCTCTCTTATGTAGAAGCTGATGTCCTCCCAGAATTGATAGAGCTGGTAGACCAAGCCTACCATTCCAGGGAGCTGGAAGAGGAAGACCTGAATATGCTGGCAGAAACCTACTGCGGCCTGGCTGCCCATGTGAGTATGAGGGGAAACATGACATCACACCCGGTGGTGGAGGAATGCTTTGGAAGAGGAAGGGTGGGGTTTAGACTGGCATGCAGCGGAGATGTTCTGGCTTCAGGAGGCTGTTCCTCTGGAAAGTGATCTGATGAGAAACACAACCTCTGATATTTTCTGCCTATAGGAGGAAGCCTCCGTCCGGGCATCAGCCATCGAACATCTGGGGCTGCTTCGGGGCTGGGTGAGAGACCAAAGACTTCCCATTACAACAACAGAAGAGGAAGCCATTCACAAACTGCTTGTGGTCCTCATTCACCTCGAAGATGAGGACGAAGTGGCCAAGGTGAGGGCCAAAGAGGTGGACTTATGCAGTAGGAGGGAGGGATTGTTCTCAGGAGCTTCCGAGACCTTGTACTGCAATTTGTAACCCTCTTCTCTTCTTGTGTTGCAGGCCGCAAGGAGGGCTCTTTCCCATCTAGCCCCAGAAGTCAAGTGGTGGGCTCGTTCCAACAAATTTAGCCTCCACTTTGCTCTCCACCAGGCTGCCAAGCATATGGTAAGGTCCCTGCTCTCAAGACCCGGAGAGCAGGCAGAGGGCAGCAAAGGCTCTCTGCCATCTTCTGCCCATCCTGCGGCACAACGAAGGTAAGACTGGAAGAATGCATCCCAGCATGGGGTGGGGGTGAGCAAGACCCAAACTAACCCTTTGGCTTTCCTTTGCAGAGACACTGGCAGGAACGTTAAGGAACCAAATACTTATCACCAGAGCTGAGAAGGTCCTCAAATCCACCGGAGGACCGGTTCCTGAACTGTTCGTGAATAATTGTTACTCTCTTGCCAGGGTAAGTCGCTGTCTCTCAAGCCACATGTTCTGGGTTCTGCAGAGGCAGCACCTGGGCTTTCTGCTCCCCAGCCCTGCCCTGTGGGCATCTCTGACCTTCCTCTCTCGCTTCGGGTCTTTGGCGCCTTTCTCCTGCGGAGCAGCTCTTGGAGGCCATGTGCTTCCTGGCCAGAGACCTGGTTGTCGAGAGCAGCTTCAACCCACTGGATATCTCCCACTTACTGCAAGATTTCATCAAGCAGTTTGGCGGCACAAAAGTGGAGGTAAGGCGTCTGCAAAGGTAGGAGAGAAGCAGATTCTCTGCTTGGTGTAGGGGAGGCCACCTCATGCCATTGGGTGGCCAGGACACATGTTAGTTGAGAGGGGCCTGGCAATGTCAGGACAAGAACCTCAGCCAAGGGTCCTGAGAAACATGGCTTCAGGAATGGGGAATTCTCCTCCTTCTGGCGCCCTGGAGCTGCCTGGGTCCAATACTCCCCAGGACCCTGAGTGGTACCTTGGAAGGAAGAGGCTGTGGTGGCACAGGTCAAGGGTCCCTCTTTCAATGAGGGATGGAGGGATCCGCCTGCAGACAGCCCCGCTTCCTTGTACTCTCCAAGCAACTCTCTCCTTTTCTCTGACAGGTGAAGGTGCTGCTGGAGGCCTTCTGTAAGATCAGCCAGGGGCCTACAGCGGAAGGCAGAAGTATGGCCGTCTTCTCGTTGTCCATCTTGTCGCACCACCACCTGGCGAAAGTGGTGCAATATCTCCTCCAGTTTCTCTTCGGGTATGGAGCCCTCCAGGTTGTACTGGGCTAAGGGGAAGGTTGGCAAGCTGCAGGGCTTGCTCAGAAAGCCCTTGCTGCCATTTCCTCTCTCTGGAGCATGGCAGCAAGCAGAAGACTTGAATCTGACCATTGCTTTTGTTTTTGCATTCACAGAGACTTTGAGAGAGTTTGGAAGGAGGTTTTAGCATCGGCCGATCCAGAAAAGCTAATCCATCTCATGGCCAAGCAGATTTACCAAAGCCCCTTGGTGGAATCTGCCACCAAAGTGGTAAGGACCAACCACCTGCTTTCTGGCTTCCTTCTTCCCAGGGTAATATCGAGGGGTTCCTGTATTCTGCAGAAAAGCAGAGAAAGTGACTTGCACCCTCTCTCTTCCAGCAACATCTCACCAGCCTGTTACACGCCATCCTCAGGATGGAGGACTACAAGGCAGCTGTGCGCCACAACTTCCCACAGCTGCTGATCGCTCTCCTGGGGATGGTTATCAACTTCCACTATGATCAGGAATTCCTCGGGTGAGTAGTGTGATGCAAAGGGACCAATGAAGTCCTTTCCCTTCAACCTCGGGGGGTTTCCAGTCCAGCTTGGTTTTCCAAGGGAGGCTCTCCTTCAGGCGGCTGCTAGGGAGGAAGGACGGGGAAAGAATTTGAGTGTGTGCCAATGACCCTCCTGGTAAAACTGGTCTTGCTTTGGTTCCAGAGGGGCTAAGGAAGTTCTGCACCTCCTTCTTGGCACCACTGGAGAGCAAGTGGAGGCGGCCATCGTTGACCAACTTTTCTGCCGGGAGACTTTCAGCCAGGGGTTGTCTGCCATGGTGAGGTAAGAGGAAGAACGCGGTGACCTTCCCCAGTGGTCTGGCAAACGGAGCTGAAGGCACGGGATCGGACTGTGCCCCTGTTTGCTTCCTGCAGTGTCTTTCCCTTCCTTACCAAGATCTGCTTCTCCATTTCAGAGCTGTCGGAAAGCGACGCTGGTGGATCCCTCCCATGGTGGAAAGCATCATCGCTGCTCTCGGGGACCAGGATTTTGCCGGGATGCCACAAGTCGCGGCAGCTATCTACATCGAGGTGAGGGGGACTGACGCGGGAGGAAATGGGTGCAGCAAGGAGGTCCTGGCTTGGTTTCTGCCGAGTGTTGGGCTACTTTGAGCCTAAGGACTGTTGCCTGTTTTAGTGCTCCTCAGAGTAGACCCATTGGATTTGATGTACATGGCAAACTTTGGTCCATTCACTTCAGTGGGTTTGCTCTGTGCAGAATTGCAAATGGTGGGTAAAAGGAGAACCTGCCTCAGCCTCTCATCACTGAAGGGTTTCTTTCTCTTTGGGGCTCTTTAGCTGCTCAGCTGCCGTCTGGAGGTCTATCCCTGTGAAGATACGCTGGAGCGGCTCCTCAACTGGCTGGAACACGACTACCTGCAAGTCCGGAAGCTCAGCGTCAGAGGGATATCCCTGCTTCTGGACTCTGACATGGCAAGTGATGCTCAGAGGGAGGGAGGGAGGGGGGGTACAGATCTTGATTCTAATCATGGCCCAGCACTCTTTTGCTGGCACAATACTGAAGGGCCTGTGCTAAAAGGCATGAGGCCTTTCAGACCTTTGAAAAGATTCTCTCTTTGTGTAGGACCCTTCGCTTCTGCGGCTCTTGCTGCTGGATTCCCTCTCTTATGTAGAAGCTGATGTCCTCCCAGAATTGATAGAGCTGGTAGACCAAGCCTACCATTCCAGGGAGCTGGAAGAGGAAGACCTGAATATGCTGGCAGAAACCTACTGCGGCCTGGCTGCCCATGTGAGTATGAGGGGAAACATGACATCACACCCGGTGGTGGAGGAATGCTTTGGAAGAGGAAGGGTGGGGTTTAGACTGGCATGCAGCGGAGATGTTCTGGCTTCAGGAGGCTGTTCCTCTGGAAAGTGATCTGATGAGAAACACAACCTCTGATATTTTCTGCCTATAGGAGGAAGCCTCCGTCCGGGCATCAGCCATCGAACATCTGGGGCTGCTTCGGGGCTGGGTGAGAGACCAAAGACTTCCCATTACAACAACAGAAGAGGAAGCCATTCACAAACTGCTTGTGGTCCTCATTCACCTCGAAGATGAGGACGAAGTGGCCAAGGTGAGGGCCAAAGAGGTGGACTTATGCAGTAGGAGGGAGGGATTGTTCTCAGGAGCTTCCGAGACCTTGTACTGCAATTTGTAACCCTCTTCTCTTCTTGTGTTGCAGGCCGCAAGGAGGGCTCTTTCCCATCTAGCCCCAGAAGTCAAGTGGTGGGCTCGTTCCAACAAATTTAGCCTCCACTTTGCTCTCCACCAGGCTGCCAAGCATATGGTAAGGTCCCTGCTCTCAAGACCCGGAGAGCAGGCAGAGGGCAGCAAAGGCTCTCTGCCATCTTCTGCCCATCCTGCGGCACAACGAAGGTAAGACTGGAAGAATGCATCCCAGCATGGGGTGGGGGTGAGCAAGACCCAAACTAACCCTTTGGCTTTCCTTTGCAGAGACACTGGCAGGAACGTTAAGGAACCAAATACTTATCACCAGAGCTGAGAAGGTCCTCAAATCCACCGGAGGACCGGTTCCTGAACTGTTCGTGAATAATTGTTACTCTCTTGCCAGGGTAAGTCGCTGTCTCTCAAGCCACATGTTCTGGGTTCTGCAGAGGCAGCACCTGGGCTTTCTGCTCCCCAGCCCTGCCCTGTGGGCATCTCTGACCTTCCTCTCTCGCTTCGGGTCTTTGGCGCCTTTCTCCTGCGGAGCAGCTCTTGGAGGCCATGTGCTTCCTGGCCAGAGACCTGGTTGTCGAGAGCAGCTTCAACCCACTGGATATCTCCCACTTACTGCAAGATTTCATCAAGCAGTTTGGCGGCACAAAAGTGGAGGTAAGGCGTCTGCAAAGGTAGGAGAGAAGCAGATTCTCTGCTTGGTGTAGGGGAGGCCACCTCATGCCATTGGGTGGCCAGGACACATGTTAGTTGAGAGGGGCCTGGCAATGTCAGGACAAGAACCTCAGCCAAGGGTCCTGAGAAACATGGCTTCAGGAATGGGGAATTCTCCTCCTTCTGGCGCCCTGGAGCTGCCTGGGTCCAATACTCCCCAGGACCCTGAGTGGTACCTTGGAAGGAAGAGGCTGTGGTGGCACAGGTCAAGGGTCCCTCTTTCAATGAGGGATGGAGGGATCCGCCTGCAGACAGCCCCGCTTCCTTGTACTCTCCAAGCAACTCTCTCCTTTTCTCTGACAGGTGAAGGTGCTGCTGGAGGCCTTCTGTAAGATCAGCCAGGGGCCTACAGCGGAAGGCAGAAGTATGGCCGTCTTCTCGTTGTCCATCTTGTCGCACCACCACCTGGCGAAAGTGGTGCAATATCTCCTCCAGTTTCTCTTCGGGTATGGAGCCCTCCAGGTTGTACTGGGCTAAGGGGAAGGTTGGCAAGCTGCAGGGCTTGCTCAGAAAGCCCTTGCTGCCATTTCCTCTCTCTGGAGCATGGCAGCAAGCAGAAGACTTGAATCTGACCATTGCTTTTGTTTTTGCATTCACAGAGACTTTGAGAGAGTTTGGAAGGAGGTTTTAGCATCGGCCGATCCAGAAAAGCTAATCCATCTCATGGCCAAGCAGATTTACCAAAGCCCCTTGGTGGAATCTGCCACCAAAGTGGTAAGGACCAACCACCTGCTTTCTGGCTTCCTTCTTCCCAGGGTAATATCGAGGGGTTCCTGTATTCTGCAGAAAAGCAGAGAAAGTGACTTGCACCCTCTCTCTTCCAGCAACATCTCACCAGCCTGTTACACGCCATCCTCAGGATGGAGGACTACAAGGCAGCTGTGCGCCACAACTTCCCACAGCTGCTGATCGCTCTCCTGGGGATGGTTATCAACTTCCACTATGATCAGGAATTCCTCGGGTGAGTAGTGTGATGCAAAGGGACCAATGAAGTCCTTTCCCTCAACCTCGGGGGGTTTCCAGTCCAGCTTGGTTTTCCAAGGGAGGCTCTCCTTCAGGCGGCTGCTAGGGAGGAAGGACGGGGAAAGAATTTGAGTGTGTGCCAATGACCCTCCTGGTAAAACTGGTCTTGCTTTGGTTCCAGAGGGGCTAAGGAAGTTCTGCACCTCCTTCTTGGCACCACTGGAGAGCAAGTGGAGGCGGCCATCGTTGACCAACTTTTCTGCCGGGAGACTTTCAGCCAGGGGTTGTCTGCCATGGTGAGGTAAGAGGAAGAACGCGGTGACCTTCCCCAGTGGTCTGGCAAACGGAGCTGAAGGCACGGGATCGGACTGTGCCCCTGTTTGCTTCCTGCAGTGTCTTTCCCTTCCTTACCAAGATCTGCTTCTCCATTTCAGAGCTGTCGGAAAGCGACGCTGGTGGATCCCTCCCATGGTGGAAAGCATCATCGCTGCTCTCGGGGACCAGGATTTTGCCGGGATGCCACAAGTCGCGGCAGCTATCTACATCGAGGTGAGGGGGACTGACGCGGGAGGAAATGGGTGCAGCAAGGAGGTCCTGGCTTGGTTTCTGCCGAGTGTTGGGCTACTTTGAGCCTAAGGACTGTTGCCTGTTTTAGTGCTCCTCAGAGTAGACCCATTGGATTTGATGTACATGGCAAACTTTGGTCCATTCACTTCAGTGGGTTTGCTCTGTGCAGAATTGCAAATGGTGGGTAAAAGGAGAACCTGCCTCAGCCTCTCATCACTGAAGGGTTTCTTTCTCTTTGGGGCTCTTTAGCTGCTCAGCTGCCGTCTGGAGGTCTATCCCTGTGAAGATACGCTGGAGCGGCTCCTCAACTGGCTGGAACACGACTACCTGCAAGTCCGGAAGCTCAGCGTCAGAGGGATATCCCTGCTTCTGGACTCTGACATGGCAAGTGATGCTCAGAGGGAGGGAGGGAGGGGGGGTACAGATCTTGATTCTAATCATGGCCCAGCACTCTTTTGCTGGCACAATACTGAAGGGCCTGTGCTAAAAGGCATGAGGCCTTTCAGACCTTTGAAAAGATTCTCTCTTTGTGTAGGACCCTTCGCTTCTGCGGCTCTTGCTGCTGGATTCCCTCTCTTATGTAGAAGCTGATGTCCTCCCAGAATTGATAGAGCTGGTAGACCAAGCCTACCATTCCAGGGAGCTGGAAGAGGAAGACCTGAATATGCTGGCAGAAACCTACTGCGGCCTGGCTGCCCATGTGAGTATGAGGGGAAACATGACATCACACCCGGTGGTGGAGGAATGCTTTGGAAGAGGAAGGGTGGGGTTTAGACTGGCATGCAGCGGAGATGTTCTGGCTTCAGGAGGCTGTTCCTCTGGAAAGTGATCTGATGAGAAACACAACCTCTGATATTTTCTGCCTATAGGAGGAAGCCTCCGTCCGGGCATCAGCCATCGAACATCTGGGGCTGCTTCGGGGCTGGGTGAGAGACCAAAGACTTCCCATTACAACAACAGAAGAGGAAGCCATTCACAAACTGCTTGTGGTCCTCATTCACCTCGAAGATGAGGACGAAGTGGCCAAGGTGAGGGCCAAAGAGGTGGACTTATGCAGTAGGAGGGAGGGATTGTTCTCAGGAGCTTCCGAGACCTTGTACTGCAATTTGTAACCCTCTTCTCTTCTTGTGTTGCAGGCCGCAAGGAGGGCTCTTTCCCATCTAGCCCCAGAAGTCAAGTGGTGGGCTCGTTCCAACAAATTTAGCCTCCACTTTGCTCTCCACCAGGCTGCCAAGCATATGGTAAGGTCCCTGCTCTCAAGACCCGGAGAGCAGGCAGAGGGCAGCAAAGGCTCTCTGCCATCTTCTGCCCATCCTGCGGCACAACGAAGGTAAGACTGGAAGAATGCATCCCAGCATGGGGTGGGGGTGAGCAAGACCCAAACTAACCCTTTGGCTTTCCTTTGCAGAGACACTGGCAGGAACGTTAAGGAACCAAATACTTATCACCAGAGCTGAGAAGGTCCTCAAATCCACCGGAGGACCGGTTCCTGAACTGTTCGTGAATAATTGTTACTCTCTTGCCAGGGTAAGTCGCTGTCTCTCAAGCCACATGTTCTGGGTTCTGCAGAGGCAGCACCTGGGCTTTCTGCTCCCCAGCCCTGCCCTGTGGGCATCTCTGACCTTCCTCTCTCGCTTCGGGTCTTTGGCGCCTTTCTCCTGCGGAGCAGCTCTTGGAGGCCATGTGCTTCCTGGCCAGAGACCTGGTTGTCGAGAGCAGCTTCAACCCACTGGATATCTCCCACTTACTGCAAGATTTCATCAAGCAGTTTGGCGGCACAAAAGTGGAGGTAAGGCGTCTGCAAAGGTAGGAGAGAAGCAGATTCTCTGCTTGGTGTAGGGGAGGCCACCTCATGCCATTGGGTGGCCAGGACACATGTTAGTTGAGAGGGGCCTGGCAATGTCAGGACAAGAACCTCAGCCAAGGGTCCTGAGAAACATGGCTTCAGGAATGGGGAATTCTCCTCCTTCTGGCGCCCTGGAGCTGCCTGGGTCCAATACTCCCCAGGACCCTGAGTGGTACCTTGGAAGGAAGAGGCTGTGGTGGCACAGGTCAAGGGTCCCTCTTTCAATGAGGGATGGAGGGATCCGCCTGCAGACAGCCCCGCTTCCTTGTACTCTCCAAGCAACTCTCTCCTTTTCTCTGACAGGTGAAGGTGCTGCTGGAGGCCTTCTGTAAGATCAGCCAGGGGCCTACAGCGGAAGGCAGAAGTATGGCCGTCTTCTCGTTGTCCATCTTGTCGCACCACCACCTGGCGAAAGTGGTGCAATATCTCCTCCAGTTTCTCTTCGGGTATGGAGCCCTCCAGGTTGTACTGGGCTAAGGGGAAGGTTGGCAAGCTGCAGGGCTTGCTCAGAAAGCCCTTGCTGCCATTTCCTCTCTCTGGAGCATGGCAGCAAGCAGAAGACTTGAATCTGACCATTGCTTTTGTTTTTGCATTCACAGAGACTTTGAGAGAGTTTGGAAGGAGGTTTTAGCATCGGCCGATCCAGAAAAGCTAATCCATCTCATGGCCAAGCAGATTTACCAAAGCCCCTTGGTGGAATCTGCCACCAAAGTGGTAAGGACCAACCACCTGCTTTCTGGCTTCCTTCTTCCCAGGGTAATATCGAGGGGTTCCTGTATTCTGCAGAAAAGCAGAGAAAGTGACTTGCACCCCTCTCTCTTCCAGCAACATCTCACCAGCCTGTTACACGCCATCCTCAGGATGGAGGACTACAAGGCAGCTGTGCGCCACAACTTCCCACAGCTGCTGATCGCTCTCCTGGGGATGGTTATCAACTTCCACTATGATCAGGAATTCCTCGGGTGAGTAGTGTGATGCAAAGGGACCAATGAAGTCCTTTCCCCTTCAACCTCGGGGGGTTTCCAGTCCAGCTTGGTTTTCCAAGGGAGGCTCTCCTTCAGGCGGCTGCTAGGGAGGAAGGACGGGGAAAGAATTTGAGTGTGTGCCAATGACCCTCCTGGTAAAACTGGTCTTGCTTTGGTTCCAGAGGGGCTAAGGAAGTTCTGCACCTCCTTCTTGGCACCACTGGAGAGCAAGTGGAGGCGGCCATCGTTGACCAACTTTTCTGCCGGGAGACTTTCAGCCAGGGGTTGTCTGCCATGGTGAGGTAAGAGGAAGAACGCGGTGACCTTCCCCAGTGGTCTGGCAAACGGAGCTGAAGGCACGGGATCGGACTGTGCCCCTGTTTGCTTCCTGCAGTGTCTTTCCCTTCCTTACCAAGATCTGCTTCTCCATTTCAGAGCTGTCGGAAAGCGACGCTGGTGGATCCCTCCCATGGTGGAAAGCATCATCGCTGCTCTCGGGGACCAGGATTTTGCCGGGATGCCACAAGTCGCGGCAGCTATCTACATCGAGGTGAGGGGGACTGACGCGGGAGGAAATGGGTGCAGCAAGGAGGTCCTGGCTTGGTTTCTGCCGAGTGTTGGGCTACTTTGAGCCTAAGGACTGTTGCCTGTTTTAGTGCTCCTCAGAGTAGACCCATTGGATTTGATGTACATGGCAAACTTTGGTCCATTCACTTCAGTGGGTTTGCTCTGTGCAGAATTGCAAATGGTGGGTAAAAGGAGAACCTGCCTCAGCCTCTCATCACTGAAGGGTTTCTTTCTCTTTGGGGCTCTTTAGCTGCTCAGCTGCCGTCTGGAGGTCTATCCCTGTGAAGATACGCTGGAGCGGCTCCTCAACTGGCTGGAACACGACTACCTGCAAGTCCGGAAGCTCAGCGTCAGAGGGATATCCCTGCTTCTGGACTCTGACATGGCAAGTGATGCTCAGAGGGAGGGAGGGAGGGGGGGTACAGATCTTGATTCTAATCATGGCCCAGCACTCTTTTGCTGGCACAATACTGAAGGGCCTGTGCTAAAGGCATGAGGCCTTTCAGACCTTTGAAAAGATTCTCTCTTTTGTGTAGGACCCTTCGCTTCTGCGGCTCTTGCTGCTGGATTCCCTCTCTTATGTAGAAGCTGATGTCCTCCCAGAATTGATAGAGCTGGTAGACCAAGCCTACCATTCCAGGGAGCTGGAAGAGGAAGACCTGAATATGCTGGCAGAAACCTACTGCGGCCTGGCTGCCCATGTGAGTATGAGGGGAAACATGACATCACACCCGGTGGTGGAGGAATGCTTTGGAAGAGGAAGGGTGGGGTTTAGACTGGCATGCAGCGGAGATGTTCTGGCTTCAGGAGGCTGTTCCTCTGGAAAGTGATCTGATGAGAAACACAACCTCTGATATTTTCTGCCTATAGGAGGAAGCCTCCGTCCGGGCATCAGCCATCGAACATCTGGGGCTGCTTCGGGGCTGGGTGAGAGACCAAAGACTTCCCATTACAACAACAGAAGAGGAAGCCATTCACAAACTGCTTGTGGTCCTCATTCACCTCGAAGATGAGGACGAAGTGGCCAAGGTGAGGGCCAAAGAGGTGGACTTATGCAGTAGGAGGGAGGGATTGTTCTCAGGAGCTTCCGAGACCTTGTACTGCAATTTGTAACCCTCTTCTCTTCTTGTGTTGCAGGCCGCAAGGAGGGCTCTTTCCCATCTAGCCCCAGAAGTCAAGTGGTGGGCTCGTTCCAACAAATTTAGCCTCCACTTTGCTCTCCACCAGGCTGCCAAGCATATGGTAAGGTCCCTGCTCTCAAGACCCGGAGAGCAGGCAGAGGGCAGCAAAGGCTCTCTGCCATCTTCTGCCCATCCTGCGGCACAACGAAGGTAAGACTGGAAGAATGCATCCCAGCATGGGGTGGGGGTGAGCAAGACCCAAACTAACCCTTTGGCTTTCCTTTGCAGAGACACTGGCAGGAACGTTAAGGAACCAAATACTTATCACCAGAGCTGAGAAGGTCCTCAAATCCACCGGAGGACCGGTTCCTGAACTGTTCGTGAATAATTGTTACTCTCTTGCCAGGGTAAGTCGCTGTCTCTCAAGCCACATGTTCTGGGTTCTGCAGAGGCAGGACCTGGGCTTTCTGCTCCCCAGCCCTGCCCTGTGGGCATCTCTGACCTTCCTCTCTCGCTTCGGGTCTTTGGCGCCTTTCTCCCTGCGGAGCAGCTCTTGGAGGCCATGTGCTTCCTGGCCAGAGACCTGGTTGTCGAGAGCAGCTTCAACCCACTGGATATCTCCCACTTACTGCAAGATTTCATCAAGCAGTTTGGCGGCACAAAAGTGGAGGTAAGGCGTCTGCAAAGGTAGGAGAGAAGCAGATTCTCTGCTTGGTGTAGGGGAGGCCACCTCATGCCATTGGGTGGCCAGGACACATGTTAGTTGAGAGGGGCCTGGCAATGTCAGGACAAGAACCTCAGCCAAGGGTCCTGAGAAACATGGCTTCAGGAATGGGGAATTCTCCTCCTTCTGGCGCCCTGGAGCTGCCTGGGTCCAATACTCCCCAGGACCCTGAGTGGTACCTTGGAAGGAAGAGGCTGTGGTGGCACAGGTCAAGGGTCCCTCTTTCAATGAGGGATGGAGGGATCCGCCTGCAGACAGCCCCGCTTCCTTGTACTCTCCAAGCAACTCTCTCCTTTTCTCTGACAGGTGAAGGTGCTGCTGGAGGCCTTCTGTAAGATCAGCCAGGGGCCTACAGCGGAAGGCAGAAGTATGGCCGTCTTCTCGTTGTCCATCTTGTCGCACCACCACCTGGCGAAAGTGGTGCAATATCTCCTCCAGTTTCTCTTCGGGTATGGAGCCCTCCAGGTTGTACTGGGCTAAGGGGAAGGTTGGCAAGCTGCAGGGCTTGCTCAGAAAGCCCTTGCTGCCATTTCCTCTCTCTGGAGCATGGCAGCAAGCAGAAGACTTGAATCTGACCATTGCTTTTGTTTTTGCATTCACAGAGACTTTGAGAGAGTTTGGAAGGAGGTTTTAGCATCGGCCGATCCAGAAAAGCTAATCCATCTCATGGCCAAGCAGATTTACCAAAGCCCCTTGGTGGAATCTGCCACCAAAGTGGTAAGGACCAACCACCTGCTTTCTGGCTTCCTTCTTCCCAGGGTAATATCGAGGGGTTCCTGTATTCTGCAGAAAAGCAGAGAAAGTGACTTGCACCCTCTCTCTTCCAGCAACATCTCACCAGCCTGTTACACGCCATCCTCAGGATGGAGGACTACAAGGCAGCTGTGCGCCACAACTTCCCACAGCTGCTGATCGCTCTCCTGGGGATGGTTATCAACTTCCACTATGATCAGGAATTCCTCGGGTGAGTAGTGTGATGCAAAGGGACCAATGAAGTCCTTTCCCCTTCAACCTCGGGGGGTTTCCAGTCCAGCTTGGTTTTCCAAGGGAGGCTCTCCTTCAGGCGGCTGCTAGGGAGGAAGGACGGGGAAAGAATTTGAGTGTGTGCCAATGACCCTCCTGGTAAAACTGGTCTTGCTTTGGTTCCAGAGGGGCTAAGGAAGTTCTGCACCTCCTTCTTGGCACCACTGGAGAGCAAGTGGAGGCGGCCATCGTTGACCAACTTTTCTGCCGGGAGACTTTCAGCCAGGGGTTGTCTGCCATGGTGAGGTAAGAGGAAGAACGCGGTGACCTTCCCCAGTGGTCTGGCAAACGGAGCTGAAGGCACGGGATCGGACTGTGCCCCTGTTTGCTTCCTGCAGTGTCTTTCCCTTCCTTACCAAGATCTGCTTCTCCATTTCAGAGCTGTCGGAAAGCGACGCTGGTGGATCCCTCCCATGGTGGAAAGCATCATCGCTGCTCTCGGGGACCAGGATTTTGCCGGGATGCCACAAGTCGCGGCAGCTATCTACATCGAGGTGAGGGGGACTGACGCGGGAGGAAATGGGTGCAGCAAGGAGGTCCTGGCTTGGTTTCTGCCGAGTGTTGGGCTACTTTGAGCCTAAGGACTGTTGCCTGTTTTAGTGCTCCTCAGAGTAGACCCATTGGATTTGATGTACATGGCAAACTTTGGTCCATTCACTTCAGTGGGTTTGCTCTGTGCAGAATTGCAAATGGTGGGTAAAAGGAGAACCTGCCTCAGCCTCTCATCACTGAAGGGTTTCTTTCTCTTTGGGGCTCTTTAGCTGCTCAGCTGCCGTCTGGAGGTCTATCCCTGTGAAGATACGCTGGAGCGGCTCCTCAACTGGCTGGAACACGACTACCTGCAAGTCCGGAAGCTCAGCGTCAGAGGGATATCCCTGCTTCTGGACTCTGACATGGCAAGTGATGCTCAGAGGGAGGGAGGGAGGGGGGTACAGATCTTGATTCTAATCATGGCCCAGCACTCTTTTGCTGGCACAATACTGAAGGGCCTGTGCTAAAAGGCATGAGGCCTTTCAGACCTTTGAAAAGATTCTCTCTTTTGTGTAGGACCCTTCGCTTCTGCGGCTCTTGCTGCTGGATTCCCTCTCTTATGTAGAAGCTGATGTCCTCCCAGAATTGATAGAGCTGGTAGACCAAGCCTACCATTCCAGGGAGCTGGAAGAGGAAGACCTGAATATGCTGGCAGAAACCTACTGCGGCCTGGCTGCCCATGTGAGTATGAGGGGAAACATGACATCACACCCGGTGGTGGAGGAATGCTTTGGAAGAGGAAGGGTGGGGTTTAGACTGGCATGCAGCGGAGATGTTCTGGCTTCAGGAGGCTGTTCCTCTGGAAAGTGATCTGATGAGAAACACAACCTCTGATATTTTCTGCCTATAGGAGGAAGCCTCCGTCCGGGCATCAGCCATCGAACATCTGGGGCTGCTTCGGGGCTGGGTGAGAGACCAAAGACTTCCCATTACAACAACAGAAGAGGAAGCCATTCACAAACTGCTTGTGGTCCTCATTCACCTCGAAGATGAGGACGAAGTGGCCAAGGTGAGGGCCAAAGAGGTGGACTTATGCAGTAGGAGGGAGGGATTGTTCTCAGGAGCTTCCGAGACCTTGTACTGCAATTTGTAACCCTCTTCTCTTCTTGTGTTGCAGGCCGCAAGGAGGGCTCTTTCCCATCTAGCCCCAGAAGTCAAGTGGTGGGCTCGTTCCAACAAATTTAGCCTCCACTTTGCTCTCCACCAGGCTGCCAAGCATATGGTAAGGTCCCTGCTCTCAAGACCCGGAGAGCAGGCAGAGGGCAGCAAAGGCTCTCTGCCATCTTCTGCCCATCCTGCGGCACAACGAAGGTAAGACTGGAAGAATGCATCCCAGCATGGGGTGGGGGTGAGCAAGACCCAAACTAACCCTTTGGCTTTCCTTTGCAGAGACACTGGCAGGAACGTTAAGGAACCAAATACTTATCACCAGAGCTGAGAAGGTCCTCAAATCCACCGGAGGACCGGTTCCTGAACTGTTCGTGAATAATTGTTACTCTCTTGCCAGGGTAAGTCGCTGTCTCTCAAGCCACATGTTCTGGGTTCTGCAGTACTTTCAGAAACGGAGGAGCCATGCTGACTACCTGTCGCCAGCCACCACCGGAGTAACTCACTTTGCCGCAAGATTACATCGCGCATCACAAGCGGAGGTCAAGGCTCGCAGCTGAGTATGAGCACCCTTCCGCGCTGGTCACCATGGTCCAGATCAGAAGCCAGTTGAGAGCTGGCACCACCAGCTCTGGGTGACGAATAGCTCAGGTCCTGCAGCTGTGCCGTTGGCGCAGAATGGCAGGAGGTCTCCTGCCCTCTGGAAGCTGCCTGAAAGGCAATTCAGGAGGCTCTGTAGTCTGCCTTGCCCATCCTGCACGGCACAACGAAGGTAAGACTGGAAGAATGCATCCCAGCGATGGAGGTGGCGCTGAGCCAGACCTCAGTACTAACTCCTAAGGCTCTCTCCTTTTCTGACAGGTGAAGGTGCCGCGTAGGCCCCTGGCTGATTCACAGTTAAGGTCAGCCAAGCACCTATCACCTGTCAGAGCAGAGGAGAGAGTCGCTCGAGAGTCCACCGGAAGCGGCGCGGTCTCAGCAGGCGGATCCCTCGCCATCCCTCATTGAAAGCGGGACCCTTGACCAGTGCCACCGCAGCCGCTGTCCTCTCCAAGGGTACCACCAGGGTCCTGGGGTGCTGGACCCAGGCAGCTCCAGGGCGCCAGAACGCATGTGAGAAAGCCCAGGCCTGAAGCCATGTTTAACAGACCCTGGGTAGTTGAAGGTTCCTGTCCTGGACATTGGCCATGGCCCCTCTCAACTATACATGTCTCCTGGCCACCCGAAAGGCAAAGAGGTGGCCTCCCTGCTACCAAGCAGAGAAGTCATGCTTCAGTCCTACCTTCGTTGGCCGGCAGAACGCCCCTACCTCCATCTCTGCGCCCCAACCTGCTTGGCACGAAATCTTGCAGGTAAGACTGGGAGATCGCCAGCTGGGCTGGGGCTGCTCGACAGCCAGGTTCCCGCCAGCGAAGCCCTATGGCTTTCCAGAGTTGCCGCGACACGGGCAGAACGTTAAGGCGCCAATACTTGTCACCCGAAGCCCAGAGGACCGTCAGAGATCGCACCGCAGGGCCGGTTCTGAGCTGTTCGGGAGCAATTGTTACTCTCTTGCCGGGCAAGGTGCTGTCCTCTCAGCCACTGTTCTGGGTTCTGCAGAGGCAGCACCCAGAACATGTTGAAAGCTTGAGAGACAGCGACTTACCCTGGCAAGAGAGTAACAATTATTCACGTAACAGTTCAGGAACCGGTCCTCCGGTGGACGGAGGACCTCAGCTCATGGTGATAGTATTTGGTTCCCAACGTTCCTGCCAGTGTCTCTGCAAAGGAAAGCCAAAGGGTTAGTTTGGGTCTTGCTCACCCCTCACCCCATGCTGGGATGCACGTCTTCCAGTCTTACCTCTCGCTGTGCCGCAGGATGGGCAGAAGATGGCAGAGGGCAGCAAGGGCTCTCTGCCGTAGCTGCAGTGGGCTGGAAAGGCCACATCCCCCAGCGTGCTGCTGTAGAACGTTAAAGGCAAATACTATCACCAGAGCTGTCAAATCCACGGAGACCGAGGTCCTGGCTGTTCGTGAATAATTGTTACTCTCTTGCCAGGAAGTAAGTCGCTGTCTCTCAACCACATACAGGTTCTAACAGAGAGTAGCACCAGAACAGTAACTTGGCGACCAACATTACAGGAAACAACTGGTGTCTAGTAGTCAACGTGATTAATCTGATATAATGTCTGAAAAAATTGCCCACACATTTGCCAGTCTTATGTTATACCACAGATGAGCAGCGGCAGAAACACTGCCCTCTGCCATCTTCTGCCCATCCTGCGGCACAACGAAGGTAAGACTGGAAGAATGCATCCCAGCATGGGGTGGGGTGAGCAAGACCGACTAACCCGCTGGCTTTCCTTTGCAGAGACACTGGCAGGAACGTTGAGGAACCAAATACTTATCACCAGAGCTGAGAAGGTCCTCAAATCCACCGGAGGACCGGTTCCTGAACTGTTCGTAGAATAATTATTTACTCTCACGCCAGGGTAAGTCGCTGTCTCTCAAGCCACATGTTCTGGGTGCTGCCTCTGCAAGGGCAGAACATGTGGCTTGAAGACATTACCTGGCAGAAACAATTGTCTGTGTGCTCTGATGATATGTTCGTTCCTGCTGGTCTCAATGTAAGAAAGCAAGAGGTAGTTGAATGTATACACTGTGATGTAGTCTTGCAGCATGGCAGAGAGCCTTTGCTGCCCATCCTGCGGCACAACGAAGGTAAGACTGGAAGAATGCATCCCAGCATGGGGTGGGGGTGAGCAAGACCCAAACTAACCCTTTGGCTTTCCTTTGCAGAGACACTGGCAGGAACGTTAAGGAACCAAATACTTATCACCAGAGCTGAGAAGGTCCTCAAATCCACCGGAGGACCGGTTCCTGAACTGTTCGTGAATAATTGTTACTCTCTTGCCAGGGTAAGTCGCTGTCTCTCAAGCCACATGTTCTGGGTTCTGCAGAGGCAGCACCTGGGCTTTCTGCTCCCCAGCCCTGCCCTGTGGGCATCTCTGACCTTCCTCTCTCGCTTCGGGTCTTTGGCGCCTTTCTCCCTGCGGAGCAGCTCTTGGAGGCCATGTGCTTCCTGGCCAGAGACCTGGTTGTCGAGAGCAGCTTCAACCCACTGGATATCTCCCACTTACTGCAAGATTTCATCAAGCAGTTTGGCGGCACAAAAGTGGAGGTAAGGCGTCTGCAAAGGTAGGAGAGAAGCAGATTCTCTGCTTGGTGTAGGGGAGGCCACCTCATGCCATTGGGTGGCCAGGACACATGTTAGTTGAGAGGGGCCTGGCAATGTCAGGACAAGAACCTCAGCCAAGGGTCCTGAGAAACATGGCTTCAGGAATGGGGAATTCTCCTCCTTCTGGCGCCCTGGAGCTGCCTGGGTCCAATACTCCCCAGGACCCTGAGTGGTACCTTGGAAGGAAGAGGCTGTGGTGGCACAGGTCAAGGGTCCCTCTTTCAATGAGGGATGGAGGGATCCGCCTGCAGACAGCCCCGCTTCCTTGTACTCTCCAAGCAACTCTCTCCTTTTCTCTGACAGGTGAAGGTGCTGCTGGAGGCCTTCTGTAAGATCAGCCAGGGGCCTACAGCGGAAGGCAGAAGTATGGCCGTCTTCTCGTTGTCCATCTTGTCGCACCACCACCTGGCGAAAGTGGTGCAATATCTCCTCCAGTTTCTCTTCGGGTATGGAGCCCTCCAGGTTGTACTGGGCTAAGGGGAAGGTTGGCAAGCTGCAGGGCTTGCTCAGAAAGCCCTTGCTGCCATTTCCTCTCTCTGGAGCATGGCAGCAAGCAGAAGACTTGAATCTGACCATTGCTTTTGTTTTTGCATTCACAGAGACTTTGAGAGAGTTTGGAAGGAGGTTTTAGCATCGGCCGATCCAGAAAAGCTAATCCATCTCATGGCCAAGCAGATTTACCAAAGCCCCTTGGTGGAATCTGCCACCAAAGTGGTAAGGACCAACCACCTGCTTTCTGGCTTCCTTCTTCCCAGGGTAATATCGAGGGGTTCCTGTATTCTGCAGAAAAGCAGAGAAAGTGACTTGCACCCCTCTCTCTTCCAGCAACATCTCACCAGCCTGTTACACGCCATCCTCAGGATGGAGGACTACAAGGCAGCTGTGCGCCACAACTTCCCACAGCTGCTGATCGCTCTCCTGGGGATGGTTATCAACTTCCACTATGATCAGGAATTCCTCGGGTGAGTAGTGTGATGCAAAGGGACCAATGAAGTCCTTTCCCTTCAACCTCGGGGGGTTTCCAGTCCAGCTTGGTTTTCCAAGGGAGGCTCTCCTTCAGGCGGCTGCTAGGGAGGAAGGACGGGGAAAGAATTTGAGTGTGTGCCAATGACCCTCCTGGTAAAACTGGTCTTGCTTTGGTTCCAGAGGGGCTAAGGAAGTTCTGCACCTCCTTCTTGGCACCACTGGAGAGCAAGTGGAGGCGGCCATCGTTGACCAACTTTTCTGCCGGGAGACTTTCAGCCAGGGGTTGTCTGCCATGGTGAGGTAAGAGGAAGAACGCGGTGACCTTCCCCAGTGGTCTGGCAAACGGAGCTGAAGGCACGGGATCGGACTGTGCCCCTGTTTGCTTCCTGCAGTGTCTTTCCCTTCCTTACCAAGATCTGCTTCTCCATTTCAGAGCTGTCGGAAAGCGACGCTGGTGGATCCCTCCCATGGTGGAAAGCATCATCGCTGCTCTCGGGGACCAGGATTTTGCCGGGATGCCACAAGTCGCGGCAGCTATCTACATCGAGGTGAGGGGGACTGACGCGGGAGGAAATGGGTGCAGCAAGGAGGTCCTGGCTTGGTTTCTGCCGAGTGTTGGGCTACTTTGAGCCTAAGGACTGTTGCCTGTTTTAGTGCTCCTCAGAGTAGACCCATTGGATTTGATGTACATGGCAAACTTTGGTCCATTCACTTCAGTGGGTTTGCTCTGTGCAGAATTGCAAATGGTGGGTAAAAGGAGAACCTGCCTCAGCCTCTCATCACTGAAGGGTTTCTTTCTCTTTGGGGCTCTTTAGCTGCTCAGCTGCCGTCTGGAGGTCTATCCCTGTGAAGATACGCTGGAGCGGCTCCTCAACTGGCTGGAACACGACTACCTGCAAGTCCGGAAGCTCAGCGTCAGAGGGATATCCCTGCTTCTGGACTCTGACATGGCAAGTGATGCTCAGAGGGAGGGAGGGAGGGGGGGTACAGATCTTGATTCTAATCATGGCCCAGCACTCTTTTGCTGGCACAATACTGAAGGGCCTGTGCTAAAAGGCATGAGGCCTTTCAGACCTTTGAAAAGATTCTCTCTTTTGTGTAGGACCCTTCGCTTCTGCGGCTCTTGCTGCTGGATTCCCTCTCTTATGTAGAAGCTGATGTCCTCCCAGAATTGATAGAGCTGGTAGACCAAGCCTACCATTCCAGGGAGCTGGAAGAGGAAGACCTGAATATGCTGGCAGAAACCTACTGCGGCCTGGCTGCCCATGTGAGTATGAGGGGAAACATGACATCACACCCGGTGGTGGAGGAATGCTTTGGAAGAGGAAGGGTGGGGTTTAGACTGGCATGCAGCGGAGATGTTCTGGCTTCAGGAGGCTGTTCCTCTGGAAAGTGATCTGATGAGAAACACAACCTCTGATATTTTCTGCCTATAGGAGGAAGCCTCCGTCCGGGCATCAGCCATCGAACATCTGGGGCTGCTTCGGGGCTGGGTGAGAGACCAAAGACTTCCCATTACAACAACAGAAGAGGAAGCCATTCACAAACTGCTTGTGGTCCTCATTCACCTCGAAGATGAGGACGAAGTGGCCAAGGTGAGGGCCAAAGAGGTGGACTTATGCAGTAGGAGGGAGGGATTGTTCTCAGGAGCTTCCGAGACCTTGTACTGCAATTTGTAACCCTCTTCTCTTCTTGTGTTGCAGGCCGCAAGGAGGGCTCTTTCCCATCTAGCCCCAGAAGTCAAGTGGTGGGCTCGTTCCAACAAATTTAGCCTCCACTTTGCTCTCCACCAGGCTGCCAAGCATATGGTAAGGTCCCTGCTCTCAAGACCCGGAGAGCAGGCAGAGGGCAGCAAAGGCTCTCTGCCATCTTCTGCCCATCCTGCGGCACAACGAAGGTAAGACTGGAAGAATGCATCCCAGCATGGGGTGGGGGTGAGCAAGACCCAAACTAACCCTTTGGCTTTCCTTTGCAGAGACACTGGCAGGAACGTTAAGGAACCAAATACTTATCACCAGAGCTGAGAAGGTCCTCAAATCCACCGGAGGACCGGTTCCTGAACTGTTCGTGAATAATTGTTACTCTCTTGCCAGGGTAAGTCGCTGTCTCTCAAGCCACATGTTCTGGGTTCTGCAGAGGCAGCACCTGGGCTTTCTGCTCCCCAGCCCTGCCCTGTGGGCATCTCTGACCTTCCTCTCTCGCTTCGGGTCTTTGGCGCCTTTCTCCTGCGGAGCAGCTCTTGGAGGCCATGTGCTTCCTGGCCAGAGACCTGGTTGTCGAGAGCAGCTTCAACCCACTGGATATCTCCCACTTACTGCAAGATTTCATCAAGCAGTTTGGCGGCACAAAAGTGGAGGTAAGGCGTCTGCAAAGGTAGGAGAGAAGCAGATTCTCTGCTTGGTGTAGGGGAGGCCACCTCATGCCATTGGGTGGCCAGGACACATGTTAGTTGAGAGGGGCCTGGCAATGTCAGGACAAGAACCTCAGCCAAGGGTCCTGAGAAACATGGCTTCAGGAATGGGGAATTCTCCTCCTTCTGGCGCCCTGGAGCTGCCTGGGTCCAATACTCCCCAGGACCCTGAGTGGTACCTTGGAAGGAAGAGGCTGTGGTGGCACAGGTCAAGGGTCCCTCTTTCAATGAGGGATGGAGGGATCCGCCTGCAGACAGCCCCGCTTCCTTGTACTCTCCAAGCAACTCTCTCCTTTTCTCTGACAGGTGAAGGTGCTGCTGGAGGCCTTCTGTAAGATCAGCCAGGGGCCTACAGCGGAAGGCAGAAGTATGGCCGTCTTCTCGTTGTCCATCTTGTCGCACCACCACCTGGCGAAAGTGGTGCAATATCTCCTCCAGTTTCTCTTCGGGTATGGAGCCCTCCAGGTTGTACTGGGCTAAGGGGAAGGTTGGCAAGCTGCAGGGCTTGCTCAGAAAGCCCTTGCTGCCATTTCCTCTCTCTGGAGCATGGCAGCAAGCAGAAGACTTGAATCTGACCATTGCTTTTGTTTTTGCATTCACAGAGACTTTGAGAGAGTTTGGAAGGAGGTTTTAGCATCGGCCGATCCAGAAAAGCTAATCCATCTCATGGCCAAGCAGATTTACCAAAGCCCCTTGGTGGAATCTGCCACCAAAGTGGTAAGGACCAACCACCTGCTTTCTGGCTTCCTTCTTCCCAGGGTAATATCGAGGGGTTCCTGTATTCTGCAGAAAAGCAGAGAAAGTGACTTGCACCCCTCTCTCTTCCAGCAACATCTCACCAGCCTGTTACACGCCATCCTCAGGATGGAGGACTACAAGGCAGCTGTGCGCCACAACTTCCCACAGCTGCTGATCGCTCTCCTGGGGATGGTTATCAACTTCCACTATGATCAGGAATTCCTCGGGTGAGTAGTGTGATGCAAAGGGACCAATGAAGTCCTTTCCCCTTCAACCTCGGGGGGTTTCCAGTCCAGCTTGGTTTTCCAAGGGAGGCTCTCCTTCAGGCGGCTGCTAGGGAGGAAGGACGGGGAAAGAATTTGAGTGTGTGCCAATGACCCTCCTGGTAAAACTGGTCTTGCTTTGGTTCCAGAGGGGCTAAGGAAGTTCTGCACCTCCTTCTTGGCACCACTGGAGAGCAAGTGGAGGCGGCCATCGTTGACCAACTTTTCTGCCGGGAGACTTTCAGCCAGGGGTTGTCTGCCATGGTGAGGTAAGAGGAAGAACGCGGTGACCTTCCCCAGTGGTCTGGCAAACGGAGCTGAAGGCACGGGATCGGACTGTGCCCCTGTTTGCTTCCTGCAGTGTCTTTCCCTTCCTTACCAAGATCTGCTTCTCCATTTCAGAGCTGTCGGAAAGCGACGCTGGTGGATCCCTCCCATGGTGGAAAGCATCATCGCTGCTCTCGGGGACCAGGATTTTGCCGGGATGCCACAAGTCGCGGCAGCTATCTACATCGAGGTGAGGGGGACTGACGCGGGAGGAAATGGGTGCAGCAAGGAGGTCCTGGCTTGGTTTCTGCCGAGTGTTGGGCTACTTTGAGCCTAAGGACTGTTGCCTGTTTTAGTAACAATTATTCACGAACAGTTCAGGAACCGGAGTAGACCCATTGGATTTGATGTACATGGCAAACTTTGGTCCATTCACTTCAGTGGGTTTGCTCTGTGCAGAATTGCAAATGGTGGATAAAAGGAGAACCTGCCTCAGCCTCTCATCACTGAAGGGTTTCTTTCTCTTTGGGGCTCTTTAGCTGCTCAGCTGCCGTCTGGAGGTCTATCCCTGTGAAGATACGCTGGAGCGGCTCCTCAACTGGCTGGAACACGACTACCTGCAAGTCCGGAAGCTCAGCGTCAGAGGGATATCCCTGCTTCTGGACTCTGACATGGCAAGTGATGCTCAGAGGGAGGGAGGGGGGGTACAGATCTCGATTCTAATCATGGCCCAGCACTCTTTTGCTGGCACAATACTGAAGGGCCTGTGCTAAAGGCATGAGGCCTTTCAGACCTTTGAAAAGATTCTCTCTTTTGTGTAGGACCCTTCGCTTCTGCGGCTCTTGCTGCTGGATTCCCTCTCTTATGTAGAAGCTGATGTCCTCCCAGAATTGATAGAGCTGGTAGACCAAGCCTACCATTCCAGGGAGCTGGAAGAGGAAGACCTGAATATGCTGGCAGAAACCTACTGCGGCCTGGCTGCCCATGTGAGTATGAGGGGAAACATGACATCACACCCGGTGGTGGAGGAATGCTTTGGAAGAGGAAGGGTGGGGTTTAGACTGGCATGCAGCGGAGATGTTCTGGCTTCAGGAGGCTGTTCCTCTGGAAAGTGATCTGATGAGAAACACAACCTCTGATATTTTCTGCCTATAGGAGGAAGCCTCCGTCCGGGCATCAGCCATCGAACATCTGGGGCTGCTTCGGGGCTGGGTGAGAGACCAAAGACTTCCCATTACAACAACAGAAGAGGAAGCCATTCACAAACTGCTTGTGGTCCTCATTCACCTCGAAGATGAGGACGAAGTGGCCAAGGTGAGGGCCAAAGAGGTGGACTTATGCAGTAGGAGGGAGGGATTGTTCTCAGGAGCTTCCGAGACTATGTACTGCAATTTGTAACCCTCTTCTCTTCTTGTGTTGCAGGCCGCAAGGAGGGCTCTTTCCCATCTAGCCCCAGAAGTCAAGTGGTGGGCTCGTTCCAACAAATTTAGCCTCCACTTTGCTCTCCACCAGGCTGCCAAGCATATGGTAAGGTCCCTGCTCTCAAGACCCGGAGAGCAGGCAGAGGGCAGCAAAGGCTCTCTGCCATCTTCTGCCCATCCTGCGGCACAACGAAGGTAAGACTGGAAGAATGCATCCCAGCATGGGGTGGGGGTGAGCAAGACCCAAACTAACCCTTTGGCTTTCCTTTGCAGAGACACTGGCAGGAACGTTAAGGAACCAAATACTTATCACCAGAGCTGAGAAGGTCCTCAAATCCACCGGAGGACCGGTTCCTGAACTGTTCGTGAATAATTGTTACTCTCTTGCCAGGGTAAGTCGCTGTCTCTCAAGCCACATGTTCTGGGTTCTGCAGAGGCAGCACCTGGGCTTTCTGCTCCCCAGCCCTGCCCTGTGGGCATCTCTGACCTTCCTCTCTCGCTTCGGGTCTTTGGCGCCTTTCTCCCTGCGGAGCAGCTCTTGGAGGCCATGTGCTTCCTGGCCAGAGACCTGGTTGTCGAGAGCAGCTTCAACCCACTGGATATCTCCCACTTACTGCAAGATTTCATCAAGCAGTTTGGCGGCACAAAAGTGGAGGTAAGGCGTCTGCAAAGGTAGGAGAGAAGCAGATTCTCTGCTTGGTGTAGGGGAGGCCACCTCATGCCATTGGGTGGCCAGGACACATGTTAGTTGAGAGGGGCCTGGCAATGTCAGGACAAGAACCTCAGCCAAGGGTCCTGAGAAACATGGCTTCAGGAATGGGGAATTCTCCTCCTTCTGGCGCCCTGGAGCTGCCTGGGTCCAATACTCCCCAGGACCCTGAGTGGTACCTTGGAAGGAAGAGGCTGTGGTGGCACAGGTCAAGGGTCCCTCTTTCAATGAGGGATGGAGGGATCCGCCTGCAGACAGCCCCGCTTCCTTGTACTCTCCAAGCAACTCTCTCCTTTTCTCTGACAGGTGAAGGTGCTGCTGGAGGCCTTCTGTAAGATCAGCCAGGGGCCTACAGCGGAAGGCAGAAGTATGGCCGTCTTCTCGTTGTCCATCTTGTCGCACCACCACCTGGCGAAAGTGGTGCAATATCTCCTCCAGTTTCTCTTCGGGTATGGAGCCCTCCAGGTTGTACTGGGCTAAGGGGAAGGTTGGCAAGCTGCAGGGCTTGCTCAGAAAGCCCTTGCTGCCATTTCCTCTCTCTGGAGCATGGCAGCAAGCAGAAGACTTGAATCTGACCATTGCTTTTGTTTTTGCATTCACAGAGACTTTGAGAGAGTTTGGAAGGAGGTTTTAGCATCGGCCGATCCAGAAAAGCTAATCCATCTCATGGCCAAGCAGATTTACCAAAGCCCCTTGGTGGAATCTGCCACCAAAGTGGTAAGGACCAACCACCTGCTTTCTGGCTTCCTTCTTCCCAGGGTAATATCGAGGGGTTCCTGTATTCTGCAGAAAAGCAGAGAAAGTGACTTGCACCCCTCTCTCTTCCAGCAACATCTCACCAGCCTGTTACACGCCATCCTCAGGATGGAGGACTACAAGGCAGCTGTGCGCCACAACTTCCCACAGCTGCTGATCGCTCTCCTGGGGATGGTTATCAACTTCCACTATGATCAGGAATTCCTCGGGTGAGTAGTGTGATGCAAAGGGACCAATGAAGTCCTTTCCCCTTCAACCTCGGGGGGTTTCCAGTCCAGCTTGGTTTTCCAAGGGAGGCTCTCCTTCAGGCGGCTGCTAGGGAGGAAGGACGGGGAAAGAATTTGAGTGTGTGCCAATGACCCTCCTGGTAAAACTGGTCTTGCTTTGGTTCCAGAGGGGCTAAGGAAGTTCTGCACCTCCTTCTTGGCACCACTGGAGAGCAAGTGGAGGCGGCCATCGTTGACCAACTTTTCTGCCGGGAGACTTTCAGCCAGGGGTTGTCTGCCATGGTGAGGTAAGAGGAAGAACGCGGTGACCTTCCCCAGTGGTCTGGCAAACGGAGCTGAAGGCACGGGATCGGACTGTGCCCCTGTTTGCTTCCTGCAGTGTCTTTCCCTTCCTTACCAAGATCTGCTTCTCCATTTCAGAGCTGTCGGAAAGCGACGCTGGTGGATCCCTCCCATGGTGGAAAGCATCATCGCTGCTCTCGGGGACCAGGATTTTGCCGGGATGCCACAAGTCGCGGCAGCTATCTACATCGAGGTGAGGGGGACTGACGCGGGAGGAAATGGGTGCAGCAAGGAGGTCCTGGCTTGGTTTCTGCCGAGTGTTGGGCTACTTTGAGCCTAAGGACTGTTGCCTGTTTTAGTGCTCCTCAGAGTAGACCCATTGGATTTGATGTACATGGCAAACTTTGGTCCATTCACTTCAGTGGGTTTGCTCTGTGCAGAATTGCAAATGGTGGGTAAAAGGAGAACCTGCCTCAGCCTCTCATCACTGAAGGGTTTCTTTCTCTTTGGGGCTCTTTAGCTGCTCAGCTGCCGTCTGGAGGTCTATCCCTGTGAAGATACGCTGGAGCGGCTCCTCAACTGGCTGGAACACGACTACCTGCAAGTCCGGAAGCTCAGCGTCAGAGGGATATCCCTGCTTCTGGACTCTGACATGGCAAGTGATGCTCAGAGGGAGGGAGGGGGGGTACAGATCTCGATTCTAATCATGGCCCAGCACTCTTTTGCTGGCACAATACTGAAGGGCCTGTGCTAAAGGCATGAGGCCTTTCAGACCTTTGAAAAGATTCTCTCTTTTGTGTAGGACCCTTCGCTTCTGCGGCTCTTGCTGCTGGATTCCCTCTCTTATGTAGAAGCTGATGTCCTCCCAGAATTGATAGAGCTGGTAGACCAAGCCTACCATTCCAGGGAGCTGGAAGAGGAAGACCTGAATATGCTGGCAGAAACCTACTGCGGCCTGGCTGCCCATGTGAGTATGAGGGGAAACATGACATCACACCCGGTGGTGGAGGAATGCTTTGGAAGAGGAAGGGTGGGGTTTAGACTGGCATGCAGCGGAGATGTTCTGGCTTCAGGAGGGTGTTCCTCTGGAAAGTGATCTGATGAGAAACACAACCTCTGATATTTTCTGCCTATAGGAGGAAGCCTCCGTCCGGGCATCAGCCATCGAACATCTGGGGCTGCTTCGGGGCTGGGTGAGAGACCAAAGACTTCCCATTACAACAACAGAAGAGGAAGCCATTCACAAACTGCTTGTGGTCCTCATTCACCTCGAAGATGAGGACGAAGTGGCCAAGGTGAGGGCCAAAGAGGTGGACTTATGCAGTAGGAGGGAGGGATTGTTCTCAGGAGCTTCCGAGACTATGTACTGCAATTTGTAACCCTCTTCTCTTCTTGTGTTGCAGGCCGCAAGGAGGGCTCTTTCCCATCTAGCCCCAGAAGTCAAGTGGTGGGCTCGTTCCAACAAATTTAGCCTCCACTTTGCTCTCCACCAGGCTGCCAAGCATATGGTAAGGTCCCTCTGCTTTGTTGGCAGCTTTGCCCAGGCATGTCTTTGGGACTGCAAGGCTCTTCTGCTGCGCTCTCAAGCCTCTCTGATGCCACTTCTCCTTTGTCTTTGCCCACAGAGCAAGACCTTCAGCAAGGACATCCTTCGGACTGCTGCCTTATCATGTACGAAGCCGTCTGCCAACAGGCTGCCAGCAGTCTCCAGGGTGGCAGCTCTGCTTCTGGGTAAGTCAAGCAACGTTCTTCCCTGGTAGGGATGGACAGAAACGTCTTGGTAACAATGGCAGGGAGGATGGACATGTCCCCAGGCCACCTGCTAGGTAGGCCTCCATCTGTGCCCAGATCTTGCTCTGAGTGCTCCGTGAGGGTGGAGGCCTCTAGACACAGCAGAGCATACCTGTCCTCCTGCCGAGCTGCCTCTGTCTCTGACGGAGAAGATTTATTGCTCAGATAAACCCTGGCGTCCGGCATGCTTCGGCTGCGTAGCTCTTGCCAGGCCTCTGCATTCCAAACTCCACATATTTTTGGGTGTGAGGAGGGGTGTTGAAGAACATAGCTTCTGACTTTGTAAAATTTACCTGTAGGCCCGACACCTTTGCAAATATGTTGAGTTCTCTGATTAGGGAGGTTGCTGTGCTTATGGGGTCTGGTATTGTGACCATTAGGTCGTCTGCGAAGAACCCTAATTTATAGGTTCTGTCTTTTATTTCCACTCCCTTGATGTCTGTGGCTGCTCGGATTCGGATTGCTAAGGGTTCCAGAGCCAGGATAAATAAGAAGGGAGACAGTGGGCACCCTTGTTTCGTGCCTCTTTCGATAGCTATAGTATTAGAATCCATATTGTTAGTTCTGCATTTTGCTGAGGCTTGGGAGTATATTTGTTTGAGGATTTGTAGGAAGTTGGGGCCTTCAGAGAAGGAGAGGAATTTGTTTAGTGTCTTCTGAAAGAATTCTAGTTGATTCGAGTTTGGGGCATATATGGAGCCGATTGTCAGTTTGATTTTGCCATCTAGTGTCCCTTTAGCAAAAACGAATCTGCCTTTTTTGTCCTTTAGGACTGTTGTGGCAGTGAAGTTCAGGTCTCTGCTGAGTATTATGCCTACGCCGCGAGCTTTCCCTGAGCCTCGTGCGACCCACTGTTGACTGAAGTGGGGGTCGCTCAGGAGTTTGCTCCCTTTGGGTGGGTTGTGTATTTCTTGTAGGAAGGTGATGTGTGGTTTCATGGTGTTTATGTATGAGGTGATGCATTTTCTTTTTATGGGGTATCCCAGCCCCCTCACATTTAATGTAATTGCTTTTAGGCTAGCCATCTTGCTTATCTATTATGTAGGGTGATTCCTTGCCAACCCGTCCAGGTTGTCCTGTGTCTCTCACTTTGTGTTGTTTAACAAACCGATGGGGTTGCGCTGACCTAGCGTGTGATGGGTGGGGGATTAGTGGGATTAGGATCAGGTTTGGGTTAAAGAGTGGGGGATAAGTTATAGAGAGTATCCTATATGTAGTCATATAGGTGTTTGTTAGGGGTATTTTGGGCCATCTGGCGTTTAGCCGGTTGGTCCTGAGTCTCAGCTGGCGTGGATGGCCTAGTTCAGGGGCAGGCCATCCTCCCTGTCGTTTGCGATAGGGGGTGGTCAGTGAGACAGTGTTAAGCGTCTTTGTGACGCCAATGTCGGGTATAGGGTTCATAAGCAGTGTTGCCAGTGTTATTAGCAACATGTTATTAGCAATATGTTGGGGTGGGGATGTGGGTGTTGGTACGCTCTGGTGCCACCATTGTGCTGATTGTGTCAGATTTTAGCCTGTTTGTGGGTTGTTGGGTGGTGGGGAATATGTTTTGAAGTCATCTGGACTGGCGTTGGGGTGGGGATCTCTGTGGAGATGCAGGGCTGGGGGGGTGCTAATGGTGCTGGCTATATTTATGGCCTAGGGGGAGGGGGAAGGAAGGGGGAAATCACCAGTCCTTCAGTTCGAGATGTCTTCTGGGTGCTTCATTCAGCTGTGGTTGTTGTTGTAGGGTTGTCCATCTGTGATGTGTTGGTTTGGTTGATCCTGGTCTGTTGCCTTGTGCTGTATGTTCAGCAGGATGCTTCTGTGCGTGGTGGTGGTTAGATGTGCTGGTTTGCATTGTTGTGTCGCTTCTGTTGCTTCTTTTTCCTCTTTACGGTTGTCCATTTGTTTGGTGTTGTTTCATCGTGGTGGTCGTGACTGTCACTTGGTGGGTCTGTCGGTTGCCATGCCAGTGGAGGGTCGAGTTCAAGGTTCTTCAGTAGTTGCAGGGCTTCAGGTATGTTGGTAGCTGTGTGTTGTGTTGTGTTGGTTGTTACTATAAGGCGGAAGGGGAAGCCCCATCGGTACTTGATCCCTGCTTGTTGGAGGCGCTGGGTGCATGGGCGTAGGTTTTTCCTTCAATTTAGGGTGTCCTGAGATAAATCCTGTAAGGCCAATATGGGGTTGTCTCCGTATCGAAGGCTTGTTGTTGAGTTTCTTAGGTTGTTCCATACCTCTTCTTTCTTTCTGTAGCGTGCGAAGCATACAATGATGTCTCGTGGGGGGGCGTTGGGTTTCGGCATAGGTTTTAGGGCTCTGTGAGGCCTCTCCAGGTCGCCTCCCTTGAGTGTCAGGTTTGGGAATGTATTTTTCAGCCAGCGTACAATTAGGTCTGCTGGGCTTTTCTCCTCCACTTTTTCAGGAGTTGCGGAAGCAGATGTTACAGCGTCTACTACGGTCTTCTAAGTCTGCCAGTTTGATTTTCATGGCTGTGTTTTTCATATCTACTATTTCCAGGTGGCTTTCCAGTTTAGCCACTTTATTATTGACACGTGTGTTTTCCTCTCGGTACTTCTCTACTATTCTTTCTTGTATAGAGTTTTTTCTTGTATAGAGTTCTTTCTTGTATAGAGCTTTTCTAGAGTTTCCATTTTGGAGGTCATGTCACTGGATGCTTTGAGTAGTTCTGTTAGTCTCATTTTCACTTCCTTCAGTTCTTGTTTTGTTGCTGGGTCGTTGTCATCTGGGGGGGGGTGTTGTGTTCTTGGTGCTGTTTGCGATGACACCAACCAGGGAGATGGCAGTCTCGTCGGTGTTTTTGGTTTCAAATTTGTTTGGCATCCTCTTGGAGCAGGGTGTGTTGTGGTTAGGGGTTGTGGTGATTGCTGGGTGTTGCTGATCTGTTGAGCTGAACAGGCGTTGTTGACTGGTGGCTTTTATAGAGCGTCTGGATTAGGCGGTCATTAGTGTCCAGTCTGGGCTGGGCTGTAAGGGCTTCTCTGGGGTTCCCTCAGTCGCCTCAGCAGTGTTCCCGAGGTGGGGGGGCAGCCAAGCAGACAGATGAGTAAGCCAACAGACAGACGGTTCACATAAAGGGGATGGTGGGCAGGGGTATGAGAGATTGGTGGGGTAGGGTCAGAGGGAGAGTGTATGTTTGGGGGGGTTATTCGTGGGTGCACCTGTGTGTACACGTCTGTGCACTGATCCTCACGAAAGGGGTATTGGGGCCCAGTCGAGGGTGGAGGGAGGGGTTAGGGGTTCGTAGTAAAGAATTAGGAATTTAAGGATGTCAAGGATGTGTTCAGGAACAGAACCCAGCAAAGCAGTGTAGAGTTTGAAGGTGAAAAAGGAGGGGAGGAAAGGGGGAGAAGCAGGGGAGGGGAGGGATGGAAGTCAAGAAGGGGTGAGAGAAAAGGAGGGAAGGAGAGGAAGGAAGGAAGGAAGGAAGGAGAGAGAGAGAGAGAGAGAGAGAGAGAGAGATAAGGGGGGAAGAGACAGGGAAAGATGAAAATGTTTGGTTGCAGTGGTGGTTCTAGTTATAGTATGAGGTAAGACCCCTGGGGGGGATTGCTACTGAAAGTGTATGGGGAGGTATGTGTATGTAGATTTTAGGGTTAGGAGGGTAAGAAAGACTAGAGAAGCAGACTAAATCAAAGAGGGGAAGCGGGGGTGTGTGTGTGAGAGAGATCTGAAGATGTTGAAGTTGTGGTGCCTGGCAGTAGTATTTGTATATCAAATGCCAGAGGTAAAAGTATTGTAGAAATGAAAATGTATAGAGACCCCTTTTGGGAGGGGCAAATTTAATATAATAATGTGTATGTGTTCTTTTAAAAAGGAGGGGGGGAAGGGGAGACAGAGAAGGAGAGGGGGGAGGGGGGAGGAAAGGAGAAGAAAGGAAAAGAAAAAGGGAGGGGGGAAGGGCACCAGTGGCAGTAGCACTGATATGGGGGGGGGAGTATTTTTATTTTATTTTAATTTTCAGGGAGGATGGTAATATTGTAGTTGCAGGACAATGGGGGGAAGGTAAGGCTCCGTCCTCAAAAACAGACAAGCTAAGAGACTAAAGGGGGAGTAAGAGGAAAAGAGGAGTAATAGTAGTATTAATAATAAAAAGGATTTTTTTAAAAAGGGAAGTAATAATGATGATAAAAAATAGTAATTAAAAACTAAGTGTTTCCCCCTTTTTTCAAAAAATAAAAATGAGGGTAGAGACTGGGGTAAGAATAAGATGAAATACAGAAAATAGGGAAAATATGTTAGTGAGGGGCAGCTTGTCTGGTAAAAATAAAGTAAAAAATATTGGGAGGGAAGGAAAGAGGACAACAGCAACAGCAAAAAGTCCCCTCCCTTTTGGGGGGGTGATAAATGTGTTTTTAGGTAATCTATGGATGTATTTTTAAAATGGTGGTAATAATAATTTAGCAAAAGGGCTGAAGATTTAGGGAAGGAGGGAAGGGAAAAAAGGGGGGGTTGTTTTTTTTTAAAGGGCGTTAAAAATGTATGGAAAAAAAGGGGGGAGTGGTGCCCCGCAAGACGAATGCCTCGCAAGACGGAAAACCCACTAGACGAAAGGGTTTTCCGTTTTTGAGTTGCTTCGCAGGACGAATTTCCCTATGGGCTTGCTTCGCAAGACGAAAATGTCTTGCGAGTCTTGAGATTTTTTTTCGCTTTCCCCCCCTTTTTCTAAGCCGCTAAGCCACTAATAGCCTTTTAGCAGCTAATCCTCTAAGCCAATAAACCTTTAATAGCCGCTAAACCGCTAATAGCGCTAATCCGCTAAGCCGCTAATAGGGTTGCTTCGCAAGACGAAAAAACCGCTAGACGAAGACACTCGCGGAACGGATTAATTTCGTCTTGCGAGGCACCACTGTATTAAAAAGTTGGTTGGTAATATGTTTTTTTTTTAAAGAAAAAAAATAGAAGAAAAACGGGGGAGGTAAAAAACACTCTCCCACAAAAAGGCTTTCTTTCTCGGCTCAGCCTGGGGGGAGGGGTCAGCAGCTCCCTTAGTTGCTGCGCTGGGCTCACCCGGTTGTCAGTTCTGGTGGCAGCAGCAGCAGTCCCAGCGGTCCGGCGCCAGCCAGGTAACCCAATTGATTCTGGCTGGCTTCAGGAGCTGCTCGCTGCTGTGGCTTCCGCCATGATGCCTCGCTGGAAGTCGATCTGAGGATTTCTTTCCCAAATTTAGTCATAATTTGGTCATCACTTTTGGAAGGCGCACTTGGAGGGACTGCCGATGCCCTATTGCTATGAACAAATCCAGAAAGATCCTGGAACACTCAGTGGCTCGTAGAGTGGCAGCGCTGGGGGGGCGTGTCATTGACCACCCCAACATCCAGTTCAGCAAGATGCACGAGGATGGCGTGCATCCTTCCAGTGCGGGAAACGATGTTTGGTTGGTTGATATATCTGCGGGGATTAGGGATTAGTTGCAGGTCTGAGGGTATTGGCGACGAGCTTTGCTCGAGTGGCGGTTAGGCATTGGTATGGGTATTGTTATGTAGATGTATGGGGGGAGGAGCACCATCACCTCCCCCAGATATTAAAGGGTAGTCCGGTAAACGGTTCCGGGGGGCGTGGCCCCATCCAAGGGCCTATGGAGGCCAGGGCCCAAGGCACGCCCCCGAGCGGTGACCCCGGGGAGTGCCTAGTTGATGGGCATCAGCTGTGAGGGGAAGGAGAAAGGTGAATGAGTCAGCGTGGAGGAGTCCCTCCATAACAGAAACAAAGGCAAGCAGGAAGAGAAGCTAAGGAGTCAGCCTGCACACATGAAAGGGGAAAACAAAAGAGAGAAAACAGAGTGTAGAAAAAACTAGAGGAACGCCTAGTGGCAAAAGAAGTGAAAGACGCGAGTAAAATCAACAGAAGACAATTAAGTATAGTGGTAGCTCCACCTATTGGGCTAACTGGAAATAACAAGAATAAACTGATATAACAAAGAAATGAACACTGTTTGTATATATTAGATAAATTTGAAAGAACGTGCAACCTAAAAAATCCAAATAACCCAAACAAAAGAAGATTCCTGGTCTTACTCAATATAAGAGCAATTAAAAAAGAATTTGTAATTTATTTTTTTAAAGCGGAAATGGAGGTAGAAAAAGTGAAGCAAGGGAAACTCCTACAAATAAAAGAAGCGCAGAGACCACATGAAACTGTTATTTTAAAAGAGGTATTGCTAGGTAGGCATCTCAATGGGATCAAAGAAGATTCAGACAACTTTTGGCCTAGCCTCAGTCTCTAACTAAGCAAGGAGAATATCGATGGTGGAGAATGAGAGCAACATGGATGTTAAAGAGATATTATTGGCAATGGAAAGAATGGAGAAGAACCTAGGAGATAAGATAAGCACCCTAGATGGAAATATTAAAATCTTAGATGGAAAAGTGGAGAGTATGGGCACTAAGATTGAGAAAAATTCCACATTAATAATGGACCTTTCTAATCAAGTGACCCAACAACCCAACTGACAACAAAGAACAAAGAGCTAGACAAGATGGTGCAGGAGATAAAGAATAAGTCATTAAAACAAGAGGAAGCCAGGAACAAAATTCAGGCGGATCAAAGAGATTCAAGGAAAGTCCCAGAGAAAAAGAAAGAGGAACTGAGGAAGGTTCAGGAAGAGACCCTGGATGCAAGGAGATGAAGCAAACGGAGGTGTTGTTACACTTCCGAGGAGTTAAAGGAAGAAATTTCAACAAAACTATTGAAAGAACTGGCGGATTGGTTAGGGGTCGAGGAAGATGAACTACTTTTGGACATTGAAAAAATATTTAGGATTAAGGTGAACAAGTCAAGAAACAAAAAGGGACTGGGAGATTGTTTAGTATTTCTGAAATCGAGGCTACTCAGGGAAAAAAATCCTATTAAAGAATTGAACTGATCCCTTGTGTATAGAGGGCAAAGTAATCGAGATTATGAAGGAGATCCCAACCAGGTTGTTGAAGAGGAGAGATAATTCCAGATTCTTAACGACAGTGCTGAAGAAGAATAAAATTCTGTTTAGGTGGGAATTTCCCGAAGGACTTACCTCTACATATAAAGAGAAGAAGAACCCTTAGATCGGCGGAGGAGACCAGAATTTTTTGGAGGAAGTACTGGGAGGAGCTGGGAGGAGAAAGGCTTCAAGAGCGAGAAGAAACAAGATAAAGCTAGAATTATTATAACGACTCCTACCTTTTGTGCCCTGTTGTTGTTGTTGTTGTTGTTGTTGTTTCTTTTTCTTTTTCTTTACCAACTACCCCCGATTTTAAAGTAGTTCATATAAATTTAATAAAACTGTATGGCCTTTAAGTGTATTTCCTGGAATGTACCTTAAAGAAAGGAAAATGGGATATAATATGTCTACCAGAGACCCATGTATCTAAAGATCATATACGGGTACTAAAAAACAAGAACTTGGGTCTGGAGTTTACAGCCGCAGGAGCAGAAAAGAAAAGAGGGGTGGTAATTTATGTAAAACCAGTGTTAAGTCCACAACTAATATTTCAAGATGAGGAAGGTAGAATAGTAGGAGTAGAAATACAAAGAAATCAAGAAAAGATAATAGTGGTAGGAGTGTATGCTCCAAATAATAATAAATCTGAATTTTACAGAAAATTGGAAGAGAAGCTTTGGGAATTTGAGAATGGAAAGATAATTATGATGGGAGATGTGAATGGAGTTATATCTATTGAAATGGATAGAACCGAGAGAGGGGGGAAATCAAACTGAGGCAGACTACCATTATCGTTCTTCCAGTTGACTGATAATCTTAATTTATTCGATACCTGGAGATTGAAGCATCCCACTGAAAAGAATATTACCTATTTTTCCGAAGATAAAAAATTGGGAGGGAGAATAGACGCAATTTGGGTCTCAAAAAAATTGACATTGAGCTTGGTAAAAGCAGAGATTCTGAATAAATCTCTCTCAGATGATAATCCAGTTACTATACACATAAGATTTAAAAAACATACGAGAGGGAGGTGGAGGATGAATGATGAGGTTTGGAGAGATGAGCAAAAGGTGAATAAAATGAGGGAATTGTTGAAGGAATTTTTCGAAATTAATGAGAGACATGGGACAGACAGGAAAATCATTTGGGATACCAGTAAAGCCTATATGAGAGGAATTGGAATACAACAAATGGCAAGAATAAGGAAGGATAAAGCAAAGGATACTATGGAAATAAATAAACAGATAAGGGAGAAGGAAAAAGAACTGTTGAAAAATCCAAAACAAGAGAGTATAATCCAGAATATAAAAAATGTACAATCCCAACTACATAAATAATTTAATAAACAAAGAGGTAGAAAATAAGATTAAATGGACAAAACAAAGGTATTTTGAATCGGCAAATAAACCCGGTAGAATGTTGTCCTGGCTAACAAAGGAGAAACAAGCGGATAGGGTTATAAATAAGATTATTGAACAAGGAAAAGAAATTACAGACCCGGACCAAATAAAAATGATGTTTAGGAATTTTTTATAAAAATTATACTGAGTTGGAAGACAGAGATGAGAATAAAATGAAAGAGTATGTAAGAGAAAACAAAATCCCTGAAATAGATGGCAAGGAATTTAGTAATTTAAACTCGTGCATAAGCTCAGAAGAAAGAAGAGAGGTGATAAGGAAAATGGAAACTGGGAAATCACCAGGCCCAGACGGAATACCAGTTACATATTACAAGAAACTAGAAGAAGTAATAATCCCTAGACTTAAAAGATCATGAATGAGATAATGGAAGAAGGGAAAACTCCTGACTCTTGGCGCGAATGGACCCAAATATTATAAAGAACTACAGGCCAATTTCACTATTGAATATTGATTATAAAATTTCCGCAGGTGTGTTAGCAAATAGATTGAAAAAATGCTTGAACAGAGTAATAGGCAGGGACCAGAATGGCTTCTTACCGGGGAGACAGATAAAAAATAATACAAGAATAGTGATTGATCTTCTAGAATATATTGATATGAAGCCTAGTAAGAAGGTGGCAATGTTACTGGTAGATGCGGAGAAAGCCTTCGACAGTGTGGCCTGGAATTTTCTGGTCCACACTGTGGAAAGTTTGAAACTTGGGAACAAAATTGAGAATGGTATTAAAGCGATATATGAAAACCAGAAAGCTAAGTTAATAATTAACAATGAAATAACTGAAGAATTCCAAATTGAAAGAGGCACCAGACAAGAATGCCCTCTATCCCCACTTTTGTTTATTATGACGCTGGAAACACTCCTAATAGCGATAAGAAAGGACCCCAAAATCTAGGGGATTAGTCTAGGTAATAGACAATATAAAGTTAAAGCGTTTGCGGACGATGTAATCATTACTACAGAAAAACCCGAAGAAAGTATACCAGAAGCACTAAAGAAGATAATGGAGGCATTTAAATTGGACAAGAAAATTGGCTTCCAGGTGGAAAGATCAAAATTAGAAACAGAACTGTTAGAACCCAAAACTAAGAATTTGTCAAGAATGTATAACTTGCTGCTGAAATGGAATACTCAGGATGAAACGGTAAAATCGGCTATGATTAAATGGGCACAGGACGTTGGACGTAACATTATGTTTGCTGACTGGGAACAGTTGTGGACCACAGGTATGAAATTTACGGCATGTAATGCCTTAAGAGAGAATATTATGAAAATGATATACAGGTGGTACCTAACCCCAGTCAAGCTTGCAAAAATCTATCATTTGCCCGATAACAAATGTTGGAAATGTAAAGAAACTGAAGGTACATTTTTTCACCTTTGGTGGACGTGCCCAAAGATTAAGGCTTTCTGGGAAATGATATATAATGAATTAAAAAAGGTATTTAAATATACCTTCCCTAAGAAACTAGAGGCCTTTCTCCTGGACATAGGCCGCCAAACGGTGTTAAAAAAGGATAGAAATTTCTTTATGTATGCAACAACAGCAGCAAGAATACTCATCGCAAAGTATTGGAAGATACAAGAACTTCCCACGCTGGAGGAATGGCAGATGAAACTGATGGACTATATGGAACTGGCGGAAATGACTGGCAGAATCCGTGACCAGGGAGAAGAGTTGGTGGAGGAAGATTGGAAGAAATTCAAAGATTATCTTCAGAAACATTGCAAAATTAAGGAATGTTAGAGTGATGTTGGATCGAAAATAAGTGGTTTCCAGCTGTACAGGTTAAAGTTATTGATAGACTAAGATTAAAGATTAGGATTAAAGATGTTTAAGGAAATGGAAATTTGGTTATATTAAGATTAAAGATTGGGATTAAAAAAAGTGGAAAAGAAATTGCTGGACAAACAATTCGGACTGGAATACAAAAGAAGGAGGTATGAGGAAGTCCAGAAAATAAGTAAATTCAAAAACGGAAATGGAAAAGTGATATTGTTTTTAATTGTTCTGTTTCTTTTTAGTTTTTGTTTTGTATTTTGTTTTCTGTGTTTTCCTTTTCTTTTTGGATTATGTATTGTGTGTTTTTGTACTTCTACTTTTATGTTCTTCTGTTTAACTTTTATTGAAATCCTAATAAAAATTATTAAAAAAAAAAAAAAGAGAAGACTCCCAAACCAGAGATCCCTTGGGTCTTTGGCTTGGAGTACCTCGGGAGTAGGGTAACTGGCAGAAAGTGCCACGTTGTTAAGAACCAAAGTATTACGTGTGAAACAACTGAGAAAACCTTGAAGGGAGACGATGGATGAAGATTGAAAGAAAGTTTAAAAATTCATTTAGAAAATTATTGTAAAATTAATGAGTGTTAGAAAAAATGTTGGAATGAAACTATTTGGCTTTAGTAGAAATGCTTTAAGGAATTATGTATAAATAAGTTTTAAGTTTTAAGCTTTAGGGCTTTTTATGGTAAGATAAAGGTTAAAATAAATTAAGGTAATTTAATGACAGAATATAGTGAAAGATGGAAAGGATTTGCTGAGATAATTAATAACTAGAATACAAAAAGGAGGTGTGAGGAGGTTGATGAAACAAGTTAATGAAAGATAAAGATTTGGGAATATTGGATTTGTTTTTTAAATTTTTTGTTTGCTTTTATTTTTGGTTTTGATGTATTGTGTGGGTTTTTTGTGTTTTTTTCCTTCTTATTGAATTGTATTGTTGAATTCATTTTTTTTGTCTATCTTTTTCCTTTTTCTTTTTTCTCTCTGTAATTTTAAATTCTCAATAAATATCATTTAAAAAAACCAGAAGCACTAAAGAAATTGTTTGAATATGGAGGAGTATCAGGCTTTAAGTTAAATAAAGAAAAACCTAAATTATTAACGAAAAATATGGGGGTAAAGGAACAGGAAGAATTGGAAAGAGTAACAGGCCTTAAAATTACCACGAAAGTTAAGTATTTGGGGATCTGGATCACCAATAAAAATACAAATTTGTACAAGGATAACAATGTGAAGAAGTGGAAGGAAATAAAAGGACATCTAAATAAATGGAATAAATTGAACTTGTCCTTATGGAGAAGGATATCCTTGATAAAAATGTCAATTCTACCAAAAATGCTCTTCCAGATGATCCCAATAATTATCGGGACAAAATGTTTTAAAGGTTGGCAAAGGGATCTATCTAATTTTATCTGGCAAGGTAAGAAGCCAAGAGTAAAGTTCAAAGTACTGATGGAGCCTAGAGAAAGGGCGGGTTCGCAGTCCCAAACCTCAAGCTGTATTATTTTGAGGCTGCATGCATGACATGGCTGAAAGATTGGATGCTACTGACAGATACTGAAATCTTAGACCTGGAGGGCTGGGGCAAAGTTTTCGGCTGGCATGGCTACCTGGGTCACGATAAAGAAAAGCACATAGAGGATTCACTAATCATTTGGTGAGAAAGGCCGTATTCGAAGCCTGGCAAGGAAATAAAACAAGAGTAACAGCCAAAACTCCCTGGTGGCTATCACCTATAGAGTCATCACCCTTGCATAGAAGCAATATGAAAGATAGCTGGCTAACATATAGGGAACTCGTAGAAGAGATCAAAGATTGCCCAACAGTAAAGAAATTTGAAGAATTAAAAGAGAGGGGGGGTGTGAATTGGTTAGAATAGTTCCAATTAAAAATAATATTTGAGAAGGATGGTAAGCTTAAGGGGTTTGATAAAAAAAATTTGGTATGGGAAAAAGAAATTTTATATAACAACCAACAAAAGGCTAGTCCGTTAAAGGATTCCGCGGGGCGTGGCCCCGTCCGAAGCCTATGGAGGCCGCGGCCCAAGGCACGCCCCCGAGCGGTGACCCCGGGGGAGTGCCTAGTTGATGGGCATCAGCAGGGCTCCCCCTGCTGGTGTTAACCCTTCCGTGTTTTCAAGCAAGCAGGCCGAATGACAGTTAGTGAACTGAAGGGTCAGTTGAAGGAAATAACAAAAAGAAAAAGGATTCCGTGGGGTGTGGCCCCGTCCGAAGCCTATGGAGGCCAGGGCCCAAGGCACGCCCCCGAGGAGTACCTAGTTGATGGGCATCAGCAGGGCTCCCCCTGCTGGTGTTAACCCTTCCGTGTCTTCAAGCAAGCAGGCCGAATGAGTTAGTGAAGTGAAGGGTCAGTTGAAGGAAATAACAAAAAGAAAAAGGATTCCGTGGGGTGTGGCACCGTCCGAAGCCTATGGAGGCCAGGGCCCAAGGCACGCCCCCGAGCGGTGACCCCGGGGGAGTGCCTAGTTGATGGGCATCAGCAGGGCTCCCCCTGCTGGTGTTAACCCTTCCGGGTCTTCAAGTAAGCAAGCTGAATGAGAGTTAGTGAACTGAAGGGTCAGATGAAGGAAATAATAAAACGAAAAAAGGATTCCGTGGGGCGTGGCCCCGTCCGAAGCCTATGGAGGCCAGGGCCCAAGGCACGCCCCCGAGCGGTGACCCCGGGGGAGTGCCTAGTTGATGGGCATCAGCAGGGCTCCCCCTGCTGGTGTTAACCCTTCCGGGTCTTCAATCAAGCAGGCCGAATGACAGTTAGTGAACTGAAGGGTCAGTTGAAGGAAATAACAAAAAGAAAAAGGATTCCGTGGGGTGTGGCCCTGTTCGAAGCCTATGGAGGCCAGGGCCCAAGGCACGCCCCCGAGCGGTGACCCCGGGGGAGTGCCTAGTTGATGGGCATCAGCAGGGCTCCCCCTGCTGGTGTTAACCCTTCCGGGTCTTCAAGCAAGCAGGCCGAATGACAGTTAGTGAACTGAAGGGTCAGTTGAAGCAAATAACAAAAAGAAAAAGGATTCCGTGGGGCGTGGCCCCGTCCGAAGCCTACGGAGGCCAGGGCCCAAGGCACGCTCCTGAGCAGTGACCCGGGGAGTGCCTAGTTGATGTGCATCAGCTGTGAGGGGAAGGAGAAAGGTGAATGAGTCAGCGTGGAGGAGTCCCGCCATAACAGAAGCAAAGGCAAGCAGGAAGAGAAGCTAAGGAGTCAGCCTGCACACATGAAAGGGGAAAACAAAAGAGAGAAAACAGAGTGTAGAAAAAACTAGAGGAACGCCTAGTGGCAAAAGAAGTGAAAGACGCGAGTAAAATCAACAGAAGACAATTAAGTATAGTGGTAGCTCCACCTATTGGGCTAACTGCAAATAACAAGAATAAACTGATATAACAAAGAAATGAACACTGTTTGTATATATTAGCTAAATTTGAAAGACTGTGCAACCTAAAAAATCCAAATAACCCAAACAAAAGAAGATTCCTGGTCTTACTCAATATAAGAGCAATTAAAAAAGAATTGTAATTTATTTTTAAAGCAGAAATGGAAGTATAAAAAGTGAAGCAAGAGAAACTCCTACAAATAAAAGAAGCGCAGAGACCACATGAAACTGTTATTTTAAAAAAGGTATTGCTAGGTAGGCATCTCAGTGGGATTTAAGAAGATTCAGACAACTTTTGGCCTAGCCTCAGCCTCTAACTAAGCAAGGAGAACATCGATGGTGGAGAATGAGAGCAACATGGACGTTAAAGAGATATTATTGGCAATGGAAAGAATGGAGAAGAACCTAGGAGATAAGATAAGCACCCTAGATGGAAATATTAAAATCTTAGATGGAAAAGTGGAGAGTATGGGCACTAAGATTGAGAAAAATTCCACATTAATAATGGACCTTTCTAATCAAGTGACCCAACTGACAACAAAGAACAAAGAGCTAGACAAGATGGTGCAGGAGATAAAGAATAAGTCATTAAAACAAGAGGAAGCCAGGAACAAAATTCAGGCGGATCAAAGAGATTCAAGGAAAGTCGCAGAGAAAAAGAAAGAGGAACTAAGGAAGGTTCAGGAAGAGACCCTGGATGCAAGGAGATGAAGCAAACGGAGGTGTTGTTACACTTCCGAGGAGTTAAAGGAAGAAATTTCAACAAAACTATTGAAAGAACTGGCGGATTGGTTAGGGGTCGAGGAAGATGAACTACTTTTGGACATTGAAAAAATATTTAGGATTAAGGTGAACAAGTCAAGAAACAAAAAGGGACTGGGAGATTGTTTAGTATTTCTGAACTCGAGGCTACTCAGGGAAAAAATCCTATTAAAGAATAGAACTGATCCCTTGTGTATAGAGGGCAAAGTAATCGAGATTATGAAGGAGATCCCAACCAGGTTGTTGAAGAGGAGAGATAATTCCAGATTCTTAACGACAGTGCTGAAGAAGAATAAAATTCTGTTTAGGTGGGAATTTCCCGAAGGACTTACCTCTACATATAAGAGAGAAGAAGAACCCTTAGATCGGCGGAGGAGACCAGAATTTTTTGGAGGAAGTACTGGGAGGAGCTGGGAGGAGAAAGGCTCCAAGAGCGAGAAGAAACAAGATAAAGCTAGAATTATTATAACGACTCCTACCTTTTGTGCCCTGTTGTTGTTGTTGTTGTTATTTCTTTTTCTTTTTCTTTACCAACTACCCCCGATTTTAAAGTAGTTCATATAAATTTAATAAAACTGTATGGCCTTTAAGTGTATTTCCTGGAATGTACCTTAAAGAAAGGAAAATGGGATATAATATGTCTACAAGAGACCCATGTATCTAAAGATCATATACGGGTACTAAAAAACAAGAACTTGGGTCTGGAGTTTACAGCCGCAGGAACAGAAAAGAAAAGAGGGGTGGTAATTTATGTAAAACCAGTGTTAAGTCCACAACTAATATTTCAAGATGAGGAAGGTAGAATAGTAGGAGTAGAAATACAAAGAAATCAAGAAAAGATAATAGTGGTAGGAGTGTATGCTCCAAATAATAATAAATCTGAATTTTACAGAAAATTGGAAGAGAAGCTTTGGGAATTTGAGAATGGAAAGATAATTATGATGGGAGATGTGAATGGAGTTATATCGATTGAAATGGATAGAACCGAGAGAGGGGGGAAATCAAACTGAGGCAGACTACCATTATCGTTCTTCCAGTTGACTGATAATCTTAATTTATTCGATACCTGGAGATTGAAGCATCCCACTGAAAAGAATATTAACTTTTTTTCCGAAGATAAAAAATTGGGAGGGAGAATAGATGCAATTTGGGCCTCGAAAAAATTGACATTGAGCTTGGTAAAAGCAGAGATTCTGAATAAATCTCTCTCAGACGATAATCCAGTTACTATACACATAAGATTTAAAAAGCATATGAGAGGGAGGTGGAGGATGAATGATGAGGTTTGGAGAGACGAGCAAAAGGTGAATAAAATGAGGGAATTGTTCAAGGAATTTTTCGAAATTAATGAGAGACATGGGACAGACAGGAAAATCATTTGGGATACCAGTAAAGCCTATATGAGAGGAATTGGAATACAACAAATGGCAAGAATAAGGAAGGATAAAGCAAAGGATACTATGGAAATAAATAAACAGATAAGGGAGAAGGAAAAAGAACTGTTGAAGTGGAAGGAAGGAAGGAAATAAAAGGACACCTAAATAAATGGAATAAATTGAACTTGTCCTTATGGGGAAGGATATCCTTGATAAAAATGTCAATTCTACCAAAAATGCTCTTCCAGATGATCCCAATAATTATCGGGACAAAATGTTTTAAAGGTTGGCAAAGGGATCTATCTAATTTTATCTGGCAAGGTAAGAAGCCAAGAGTAAGGTTCAAAGTACTGATGGAGCCTAGAGAAAGGGGCGGGTTCGCAGTCCCAAACCTCAAGCTGTATTATTTTGAGGCTGCATGCATGACATGGCTGAAAGATTGGATGCTACTGACAGATACCGAAATCTTAGACCTGGAGGGCTGGGGCAAAGTTTTCGGCTGGCATGGCTACCTGGGTCACGATAAAAGAAAAGCACATAGAGGATTCACTAATCATTTGGTGAGAAAGGCCGTATTCGAAGCCTGGCAAGGAAATAAAACAAGAGTAACAGCCAAAACTCCCTGGTGGCTATCACCTATAGAGTCATCACCCTTGCATAGAAGCAATATGAAAGATAGCTGGCTAACATATAGGGAACTCGTAGAAGAGATCAAAGATTGCCCAACAGTAAAGAAATTTGAAGAATTAAAAGAGAGGGGGGTGTGAATTGGTTAGAATAGTTCCAATTAAAAATAATATTTGAGAAGGATGGTAAGCTTAAGGGGTTTGATAAAAAAAATTTGGTATGGGAAAAAGAAATTTTATATAACAACCAACAAAAGGCTAGTCCGTTAAAGGATTCCGCGGGGCGTGGCCCCGTCCGAAGCCTATGGAGGCCGCGGCCCAAGGCACGCCCCCGAGTGGTGACCCCGGGGGAGTGCCTAGTTGATGGGCATCAGGAGGGCTCCCCCTGCTGGTGTTAACGCTTCCGGGTCTTCAAGCAAGCAGGCCGAATGACAGTTAGTGAACTGAAGGGTCAGTTGAAGCAAATAACAAAAAGAAAAAGGATTCCGTGGGGTGTGGCCCCGTCCGAAGCCTATGGAGGCCAGGGCCCAAGGCACGCCCCCGAGGAGTGCCTAGTTGATGGGCATCAGCAGGGCTCCCCCTGCTGGTGTTAACGCTTCCGGGTCTCCAAGTAAGCAGGCCGAATGACAGTTAGTGAACTGAAGGGTCAGTTGAAGCAAATAACAAAAAGAAAAAGGATTCCGTGGGGCGTGGCCCCGTCCGAAGCCTATGGAGGCACGCACCCGAGCGGTGACCCTGGGGGAGTGCCTAGTTGATGTGCATCAGCTGTGAGGGGAAGGAGAAAGGTGAATGAGTCAGCGTGGAGGAGTCCCGCCATAACAGAAACAAAGGCAAGCAGGAAGAGAAGCTAAGGAGTCAGCCTGCACACATGAAATGGGAAAACAAAAGAGAGAAAACAGAGTGTAAAAAAAACTAGAGGGACGCCTAGTGGCAAAAGAAGTGAAAGACGCGAGTAAAATCAACAGAAGACAATTAAGTATAGTGGTAGCTCCACCTATTGGGCTAACTGCAAATAACAAGAATAAACTGATATAACAAAGAAATGAACACTGTTTGTATATATTAGCTAAATTTGAAAGACTGTGCAACCTAAAAAATCCAAATAACCCAAACAAAAGAAGATTCCTGGTCTTACTCAATATAAGAGCAATTAAAAAAGAATTTGTAATTTATTTTTAAAGCGGAAATGGAAGTATAAAAAGTGAAGCAAGGGAAACTCCTACAAATAAAAGAAGCGCAGAGACCACATGAAACTGTTATTTTAAAAAAGGTATTGCTAGGTAGGCATCTCAGTGGGATTTAAGAAGATTCAGACAACTTTTGGCCTAGCCTCAGCCTCTAACTAAGCAAGGAGAACATCGATGGTGGAAAATGAGAGCAACATGGACGTTGCGGATCAAAGAGATTCAAGGAAAGTCCCAGAGAAAAAGAAAGAGGAACTGAGGAAGGTTCAGGAAGAGACCCTGGATGCAAGGAGATGAAGGAGAAGGAGATGTTGTTGCACTTCCGAGGAGCTAAAGAGAACCAGGAGCAAGAAATTCCAACAAAACTATTGAAAGAACTGGCGGATTGGTTAGGGGTCGAGGAAGATGAACTACTTTTGGACATTGAAAAAATATTTAGGATTAAGGTGAACAAGTCAAGAAACAAAAAGGGACTGGGAGATTGTTTAGTATTTCTGAACTCGAGGCTACTCAGGGAAAAAATCCTATTAAAGAATAGAACTGATCCCTTGTGTATAGAGGGCAAAGTAATCGAGATTATGAAGGAGATCCCAACCAGGTTGTTGAAGAGGAGAGATAATTCCAGATTCTTAACGACAGCGCTGAAGAATAAAATTCTGTTTAGGTGGGAATTTCCCGAAGGACTTACCTCTACATATAAAGAGAGAAGAACCCTTAGATCGGCGGAGGAGACCAGTTACTATACACATAAGATTTAAAAAGTATACGAGAGGGAGGTGGAGGATGAATGATGAGGTTTGGAGAGATGAGCAAAAGGTGAATAAAATGAGGGAATTGTTCAAGGAATTTTTCGAAATTAATGAGAGACATGGGACAGACAGGAAAATCATTTGGGATACCAGTAAAGCCTATATGAGAGGAATTGGAATACAACAAATGGCAAGAATAAGGAAGGATAAAGCAAAGGATACTATGGAAATAAATAAACAGATAAGGGAGAAGGAAAAAGAACTGTTGAAGTGGAAGGAAGGAAGGAAATAAAAGGACATCTAAATAAATGGAATAAATTGAACTTGTCCTTATGGAGAAGGATATCCTTGATAAAAATGTCAATTCTACCAAAAATGCTCTTCCAGATGATCCCAATAATTATCGGGACAAAATGTTTTAAAGGTTGGCAAAGGGATCTATCTAATTTTATCTGGCAAGGTAAGAAGCCAAGAGTAAGGTTCAAAGTACTGATGGAGCCTAGAGAAAGGGGCGGGTTCGCAGTCCCAAACCTCAAGCTGTATTATTTTGAGGCTGCATGCATGACATGGCTGAAAGATTGGATGCTACTGACAGATACCGAAATCTTAGACCTGGAGGGCTGGGACAAAGTTTTTGCGTGGCACGGCTACCTGGGTCACGATAAAAGAAAAGCACATAGAGGATTCACTAATCATTTGGTGAGAAAGGCCCTATTCGAAGTCTGGCAAGGAAATAAAACAAGAGTAACAGCCAAAACTCCCTGGTGGCTATCACCTATAGAGTCATCACCCTTGCATAGAAGCAATATGAAAGATAGCTGGCTAACATATAGGGAACTCGTAGAAGAGATCAAAGATTGCCCAACAGTAAAGAAATTTGAAGAATTAAAAGGGGGGGGGTGAATTGGTTAGAATATTTCCAATTAAAAATAATATTTGAGAAGGATAGTAAGCTTAAGTGGTTTGATAAAAAAATCTCGGTATGGGAAAAAGAAATTTTATATAACAACCAACAAAAGGCTAGTCTGTTAAAGGATTCCACGGGGCGTGCCTAGTTGATGGGCATCAGCAGGGCTCCCCCTGCTGGTATTAACCCTTCCGGGTCTTCAAGTAAGCAGGCCGAATGACAGATGGAGATTGAAGCATCCCCCTGAAAAGGATATTACCTATTTTTCCGAAGATAAAAAATCGGGAGGGAGAATAGACCCAATTTGGGCCTCAAAAAAATTGACATTGAGCTTGGTAAAAGCAGAGATTCTGAATAAATCTCTCTCAGACGATAATCCAGTTACTATACACATAAGATTTAAAAAGCATACGAGAGGGAGGTGGAGGATGAATGATGAGGTTTGGAGAGATGAGCAAAAGGTGAATAAAATGAGGGAATTGTTGAAGGAATTTTTCGAAATTAATGAGAGACATGGGACAGACAGGAAAATCATTTGGGATACCAGTAAAGCCTATATGAGAGGAATTGGAATACAACAAATGGCAAGAATAAGGAAGGATAAAGCAAAAGATACTATGGAAATAAATAAACAGATAAGGGAGAAGGAAAAAGAACTGTTGAAAAATCCAAAACAAGAGAGTATAATCCAGAATATAAAAAATGTACAATCCCAACTACATAAATAATTTAATAAACAAAGAGGTAGAAAATAAGATTAAATGGACAAAACAAAGGTATTTTGAATCGGCAAATAAACCCGGTAGAATGTTGTCCTGGCTAACAAAGGAGAAACAAGCGGATAGGGTTATAAATAAGATTATTGAACAAGGAAAAGAAATTACAGACCCGGACCAAATAAAAATGAGGTTTAGGACCTTTTATAAAAATTATACTGAGTTGGAAGACAAAGATGAGAATAAAATGAAAGAGTATGTAAGAGAAAACAAAATCCCTGAAATAGATGGCAAGGAATCTAGTAATCTAGTAATTTAAACTCGTGCATAAGCTCAGAAGAAAGAAGAGAGGTGATAAGGAAAATGGAAACTGGGAAATCACCAGGCCCAAAAAAATCTCGGTATGGGAAAAGGAAATTTTATATAACAACCAACAAAAGGCTAGTCCGTTAAAGGATTCCGCGGGCGTGGCCCCGTCCAAGGGCCTATGGAGGCCAGGGCCCAAGGCACGCCCCCGAGCGGTGACCCCGGGGGAGTGCCTAGTTGATGGGCATCAGCAGGGCTCCCCCTGCTGGTGTTAACCCTTCCGAGTCTTCAAGCAAGCAGGCCGAAGCCGGATAATCGGATAGGACCAATAAAGTTGTGGCCAATTTTAGCCCATTAACCTTAAAATAACGGTGTCATGTGTCTTTATTCCTACTGGTGGGAGGCGGGAACTCGCCACGCAACCTGGCTTGGCCAATTCAGCTCACAATGTGTTCTAAAAGTCTCTGGGGTCAGTTTGACACCATAGTCCCGTGAGAAAAGCCCTTCTGAAATTTGCTATCATACAGCCCAGTGGAGTGCTTGAATTACAAGCCGTTGAACACTCCCCCTGCATCGCTATGTCCCTTCTGAAGTGCTTCTCACCAGATTCTCAGAGATTCGCTTCCGTTTGTTCCCGATCAAAATGCTGTCACCTGATTTGGAAATGCGGTAGTAAAAGGTCCACATTCAGTGCCCCAGCGCCCTGTTACCATTAATTCTGTTGGAACCGGTTCAGGCCGGTTCAGACTGGTTTAGGTTTGAACCAGCTGAAACCAGTTGGGAAAAGTCCATGCGGGTTCCAACTTGCCCAGACGCGTTTGAACTGGCCCAGACTGGTTGGAACTAGTTCAGACTGCTTGGAACAGGTCTCGGCTGGTTTGAACCAGGCCAAGCAGGGTGGAACAGGTCCAAACCGTTTGGAACCGGTTCAGACCGGTTGGAACCAGTCCAGGCCGGTTTGAACCAGGTGAAACCAGTTGGGGAAAGTCCATGTGGGTTCCAACTTGCCCAGACCAGTTTGAACTGGCCCAGACTGCTTGGAACTGGCTCAGACTGCTTGGAACAGGTCTAGGCTGGTTTGAACCGGTCCAAGTCGGTTGAAACAGGTCCAAGCCAGTTGGAACCAGTCTAGGCCAGTATGAACTGGTCTAGGCAGGTTTGCGCCAGTCGAAGCTGGTTTGGACTAGCTTGGACTAGGCTGATTTGAACCGGTCCAAGCCGGCTGGAACTGGTCTAGGCCAGTTTGAACCAGAATAGGCCAGTCGGTACCGGTCCAAGCCGGTTTGAGCTGGTCTAGGCCGGTTTGAACCGGTCTAGGCTGGTTTCTGCCAGTCTGAGCCGGTTCGAAGAGGTCTAGGCCGGTTGGAACAGCTCTGTGTCACTTGGAAGCAGCCCAGACCTGCTGGGACCCGTTCATACTGGTTGGATCCAGCCCAAGCCAGTAGGAACCATCCCAAAGCAGTTTGAAAAAGTCCAGCCAGATTCTAAGTTCCCAAGACCGGTTTGAATTGGCCCAGACTGCTTGGAACTGGCTCAAACTGGTTTGAAGAGGTCTAGGCTGGTTCGAACCGGTCCAAGCCGGGTGCAACAGGTCCAAGCCAGCTGGTACCGGTTCAGATCAGTTGGAACTGGTCCAAGCCGGTTTGAACCAGCTGAAACCAATTGGGAAATGTCCAGGCGGGTTCCAACTTGCCCACACCAGTTTGAACTGGCCCAGACTGGTTGGAAGCAGCTCAGACTGCTCAGAACTGGTCTAGGCTGGTTTGAACCGGTCCAAGTCGGTTGAAACAGGTCCAAGCCGGTTGGAACCAGTCTAGGCCGGTTTGAAATGGCCCAAGCCACTTTGAGCAGTTCCAAATGGGTTGGAACTGGCCCAGACAGGTTGGAGCAGGTCCAGACCAGTTGGAGTAGGTGCAGGTCATTTGAAACTGAATTTGACCAGTTCAAACCAGCCTAGACCAGTTCAAACCGGCTTCAACCAGCACAAATCGGCTTGGACTGGTTCAAACCAGTCTAGACCTCTTCCAACCAGTCTGAGCTGGTTCCAACCAGTCTGGGAAATTTGGATCCCGCCTGGACCTTTTCCAACTGGTTTGGGCTGGTTCCAACTGGCTTGGGCTGGATCCAACTGGTATGAAATGATTCCAACTGGTCTGGGCTGCTTCCAAGAAACATAGACCTGTTCCAACCTGCCTGGACCTGTTGTAACTAGCTTGGGCCAATTTCAAATGACCTGCACCTGCTCCAACTGGCCTGGACCTGCTCCAACCTGTCTGGGCCAGTTCCAACCCACTTGGAACTGTTCAAACCGGCCTAAACCGGTACAAAACTGCCTCGACCAATTCAAACCGGCTTGGACTGGCAGAAACCGGCCTAGACCGGTTCAAACTGGCCTAGACCGGTTCCAACCGGCTTGGATCTGTTTCAGCCGACTTGGTCTGATTCAAACCAGTCTAGACCTGTTCCAACCAGTATGGGCCAGTTCCAAGTGGTCTGTGCAAGTTGGAACCCGCCTGGACCTTTTCCAACTGCTTTGGGATGGTTCCAACCAGCGTGGACCGGACCCAACAGGTATGAACTGGTTCCAGTTGATGTGCATCAGCAGGGCTCCCCCTGCTGGTGTTAACCCTTCCGGGTTTTCAAGCAAGCAGTTGGAAAATGTCCAGGTGGGTTCCAACTTGCCCAGACCAGTTGGAACAGGCCCAGACTGGTTGGCCCAGACTGGTTTGAACCGGTCCAGGTCGGTTGAAACAGGTCCAAGCCGGTTGGAATCAGTCTAGGTCAATATGAACCGGTCTAGGCTGGTTTGTGCCGGTCCAAGCCAGTTTGAACCAGTCAAGTCAGGTTTGTACCGGTCTAGGCCGGTTTGAACAGTTCCAAGTGGGTTGGAACTGGCCCAGACAGGTTGGAGCAGGTCCAGGCCAGTTGGAGCAGGTGCAGATCATTTGAAACTGGCCCAAGCCGGTTACAACAGGTCCAGGCTGGTTGGAACAGGTCTATGTCGCTTGGAACCAGCCCAGACCTGTAGGAATCATTCCATACCAGTTGGATCCAGCCCAAGCCAGTTGGAACCAGCCCAAACCAGTTGGAAAAGGTCCAGGCGGGATCCAACTTTCCCAGACTGGTTGGAACCAGCTCAGACTGGTTGGAAGAGGTCTAGACTGGTTTGAACCAGTCCAAGCCGATTTGTGCTGGTTGAAGCCGGTTTGAACTTGTCTAGGCTGGTTTGAACTGGTCAAATTCAGTTTCAAATGACCTGCACCTGCTCCAACTGGTCTGGACCTGCTCCAACCTGTCTGGGTCAGTTCCAACCCACTTGGAACTGCTCAAACTAGCTTGGGTCGTTTAAAACTGGCCTAGACCTGTTCAAACCGGCCTAGACTGGTTTAAACTGTCTTGTACTGGCATAAACCTGCCTAGACCAGTTCCAACTGGCCTAGACTAGTTCCAACCGGCTTCGACCTGTTTCAACCGACTTGGACCGGTTCAAACCAGCCTAGACCTGTTCCAACCAGTCTTAGCCAGTTCCTACCAGTCTGGGCCAGTTCAAACTGGTGTGGGCAAGTTGGAACCTGCATGGACTTTTCCCAACTGGTTTCAGCTGGTTCAAACTGGATTGGACCAGTTCCAACCCGTCTAAAGCAGTTCCAACCAGTTTGGACCTGTACCACCCGGCTTGGACCGGTTCAAACCAGCCTAGACCTGTTCAAACTAGTCTGAGCCAGCAATAAAACCCTTTCTGCAACCCCAAGAGTGCCAGATTGGAGGGAGGACCTTCACTCATCAGTTTCTTTATGTACCAGTATGTCCAATTCCCCTTTTGGGACGTGATTTTCTATCTAAAATTCAAGCTCAAATAGCCTTCACGCCTAAAGGGGCAGAATTGAAATTACCACCAATTGTAGTAGCTCTAAAGCCCGGTGCAAGCAGAACTGTGCATGCGTCGGCATGGATAGATGCACACCCGTCTCGCTCTTGGGACTTTACTAATTAAAAGCCTGAAAAACAAATAACTCTCTGCAAACTGATAGCTCAGATAACTGACCCAAAACTGGGCTTAGGTACAAGTCCTGGATTGGGGTGAGTTAGTGTTTAAAACGGTGGTTTATCTATTTATTTGGGAAAGACTTGAGAAGGACTTAACAAGATGGCCAAGTCTTTGAAGGAGCTGGGTGAAATGATTCAGCGTTTGGAAGCAAATGTTCGCGCTGATATGCAAGACTTGAAAGGAGAGATGAGAAGAATGACTGCTACAGTAGAAAAAGTTATTAAAATAGCAGAGTATGCAAAAGAGGTAGCTGATGCAAACGTAAACAAAATAGAATCTCAGACAAAAAGGATTTCACAAATGAACGATAGACAGCACAGAAGGAATTTAAAATTCTCTGGTATTTCTGAAGATATTGGGAATAAGGACCTAGAAAAAGAGATGTAAGGACCTAGAAAAAGAGATCTCTAGAAAAAGAGATGCTCAAAGAACAAGGAATTGAAATTGAGCAGAATGAAATTGAGAGAGTGCACTGGGTGTTCACATCACAAGGAGGCTCTGGACTTCCCAGGGTTGTAATTATGGCATTCACAAGAGAGAAGGTAAGAGATCAAATTTATAAATCACTCCGGCAGAAAGCAGACCTGCAGTTTAAACAGCGAAAGGTCATAGTGAGACAAGACATTTCTCAGGAAACGCTTCAAGATAGGAAACGTATGCAGCGGTTTGCACAAGCTCTCTACAATCATAAAATCCTCTTTACCTGGGCCTACCCTGCTACACTGTTGGTTTTTAAAGACAGTAGGAAATATTCTGCTAAGAACCCTGGTGAAGCAAAAAAAATGCTAGCTGGTTTAGGAGTTGGACTACAAGGACAGACTGAGCAAGAACTCTCAAGTTGGGAAGAATTACAGGGAGAGTCGAGTGAAGAATCTCCAAAATCTCCAGTGCAGAGACAAGAGAATAAAAGAAGACGGAAGTCGAGAGGGGAAGGAAGCAGCAAGAAATAATATATACTAGAGACATCTAAAATGGGCTTTTGTAAATATATATATGTTGCTTTTTCTGATATAAACTTTCCAAGAGCGAAGGGAAAGGAGTGTGGTTCTCCAAGATACAATGAGACAGGGATCATGGAGATCCCTAACTGAGTCTCAGGGGGGAGTTGAAAGGGCCAGAATGGAAAATATAATATATGTACACAGAGGGATTCAAAAAATAAACAGTAGCTGGGATAATGGATAGATCTTTAAAGGTTTTATCTTTAAATGTTAATGGGCAGGGCCTCAAACACCAAACGCTACTGGGTTCTGACACTGGCTAAGAAAATGAAAGTGGATATACTATGCCTTAAGGAGACTCATAGAGCCAAAGCAAATAGACCTTTGTTATGCTCTCAGCAATGGGGCCTAATAGCAGAATCGAAAGCCACGAGCAAGGCTAGAGGGGTCACTATACTATGTAATGCAAATCTTAGGCCGGAGGTTCTGAGCCAGAAAAAGATAATGATGGTAGATTTACATTCTTAAAAATTAAAGTGTCACAAAAAATCTTTACAATAGCTAATATATACAAGCCTAACACAAGACAGAATTTTTTTTATAAAGAAAACCTTGAATAGACTGCAGCTTTACGCTGAAGGGGAAGTTATCGTTACAGCAGACTTTAATTGGAATATAAAGAATGACAGTAGTTTCAGATTATCTATATGGGGATTAAAGGATGTTTTTGAGAGGAAAAACCCCAATACCAAACCTACCTTCTTCTCCAACAGACATAAGACTTTCTCTTATATTGACTACGAGCTAATTAAAGAAGGGAATGAAATCAGTGTTAGAACAGCAAAGACTATGGGAATATGAATTTCAGACCATGCTCCACTATTTGTGGAGCTGGGACTGGAAGAGGATGGAAAAAGTAGGAGATGGCGGTACAATAACCTAATAATGGCAAAAGAGATTGACAGGGGATATATTAGAAAACAAATTGGTTGGTATTTTAAAGAAAACAATGCTTCAGCCGAGATCCCGGTAGTATGGGACGCTTTCAAAGCTGTTATGAGAGGACATTGTATACTGAAAGAGATTGCGATTAAGAAGGATTGGTACTTGGGGAGACAGGAAAAAATTAAAGAGATTGAAATCTTGCAACAACAGCAACAGGTTACATTTCTAAGGAGGAGTCAGGAGCAATTAAGAAAGTTAAAACAGGAATTGGATGAGCTGGATATAGTTGGAAGAGAGATAATATGATCAAAACTTATTTTCAGAGAACCTCAATAGGATCATATAAGAGACTGGCAAACTATTTAAAGAAAAGAAGGGATAAACAGAGGGTGAAGGCCATTAAGACCAGAAGGAAAATACTTACACAAAGCTCTAGAGAAATAAGGAAAGAATTGGCAGAATTCTATCAATCTTTATATAAAGAAGAAAATAAAAATATAAGTAGGGAAAGTTTAGGGTTTAAATCAAAGAAAGTGATAGATTAAGACTGAAGGAGGAAATTTCTCTGGAAGAAATAGAGAATGTAGTTAAATCATTTAAAAGTAAGAAATCCCCAGGATTAGATGGAATTACGGCAGACTTTTATAAAGAAGCAATTGATATCCTGGGCTCAGAACTCAAAAAAGTATTTAATAATATCTTAGGGGGGGGGGAGCCCCAGATACTTGGAAACTAGCGGAAACAGTAGGGACTGAAAAACCACAAAAGGACCCTACAGAGGTGGGGTCATACAGACCAATTAGCCTATTAAATCAAGACTATAAGATATTTACAAAGATCTTGGCAAGGCGACTGGAAAAGGTACTACCTAAAATAATTAAGGAAGATCAATATGGATTTGTTAAGGGAAGATACATAGGCCATCCTACAAGAAATGTGTGAAATGTATTAACAAGCAGGGTAAAAGGAAAATTGGTGGTTTTAAAATTGGATGTGTATAAGGCCTTCGACACGATTAGACATAAGTTCTTATGGAGTATTATGCAGGAGGATTAGGAGAGAACTTTGTGGAAGCAATCCGGGAATTGTATAGAGAAGGGAAGGCTGTGGTCAGAGTGAATGAGGGGTTTCAGATCAATTCAATATACAAAGAGGAGTTAAACAAGGATGTTCACTTTCACCACTACTATTTGTATTAGGTATGGAGTACTTGGCAGACAGAATATGAAACTCAGTAAGGATAAAAGGATATAAGAAAGGAAAGGAAGAAATTAAGTTAAAGATTTATGCAGATGATATCCTATTATTATTTACAAACCCCTTAGAGGGTGTAAGAGAATTTATGATAATCCTGAAGAACTTTAAAGAAGAGTCGGGATTGGGAGTAAATTTGGAGAAGTCTGAAATTTTATTTGGGGATGTAAATAAAGAGGAGAAGAAGGAAATTGCAAAAATGACAAAGATGGATATCAATAGGGAAAAAATTGAATACTTGGGGTAAATATTATTTAAAATAGTGCTAGGATTCCAGATGTAAATTACAAAGAAGCGTGGAGAAAGATCAAGAAGGAGAAAGATCATGGAAAAATAAGAATTTATCTATTCTAGGTAGGGTTAGAGCAGCTAAATTTTTTTTATTTTTATTTTTTTTTTATTTTTATTTTTTATTTTTATTTTTTTATTTATTTCAAGTAATTACACTACCCATTAGGAAAATATGGTTCAAAACATGGAATAAGGTATTTAAAAATTGGATTTTTGGAAGTAAAAGAGTTAGAACCCCAGACATAGTAAATTATTCATCTCAAGAAGAGATGGGATGGGGAATACCAAACTTAGAATTTTACTATGAAACGTTCCAATTGAAAAATCTAATAGATATTGGATATAAGGAAGGGGTTAAATGGATAAGGCTGGAGAATGAAATAAGTGAAGGAATAGGAAGAGAAGGGCTATTTAATAGAGATATTAACACGGCTTTCAAGAAGACAATAGGACCAAGGAAAACTGCGTTAGGAATCTGGAAGAACTGGAATACAAAATGGATGCCAACATACTCAAGGTGGATGCCGTTAAAATATATGCAGGAGGATCAAAGGGAGCCTGGTTGGTGGAAGAAATTAGAAGATCAGGGATTTTATAAATTAAAAGATATGTTTGATGAAGAGGGGAATTTAATTACAAAAAAAAGTTTTTAAAGAAAAAATAGGAAAACAATATTGGCTGAAAGTGCAAGGACTTTATGATTTAATAAAAATAGAAAGAGCAGATGAAACGATAAGGACACAAATGAAAATAGATATGGTGCTGAACAAAAGACAAATGACTAACAAAGGGATAGTAGAGATGTTATATAAACTGATGATAAGCGACAAAGAAAGAATGATAAGGATTATTCAGATTAAATGGGAGCAGGAAGCTATGATCCATCCAAACACGGCCCAAGAAATTGTGGCACTCGCTAGGGCCCTACAGCTATCAACAGGCTGCTGTGCCAATATCCATACTGATTCAAAGTTTGCCTTCTTAACCCTGCGTGCCCATGAAGCCCTATGGAAGGAGAACGGACTCATTGGTACAAAGGGCAAAGCTCTCAAATACGGCCCAGAATTAGAAAATCTCTTGGAAGCTGTATGGGCACCCGAGAAAATTGCTGTAATGCACTGCCGGGGCCACAGCCGGGAGTCCTGCAAAACGGCAAAGGGCAATCATTTGGCAGACAAGGCAGCAAGGAAATCAGCCCTAGAGGAACCTCCACCAGACACTATGATAGCCTCCCTTTTGCCGACAGTTATTAATATGGAGGAAATGAAGCATTTATACAGAGAGAGAAGCAGAATGGGTCCATCAGGAAGGAGGAACCAGAGTACCTCCCCATAAAGGTACGCCAGTCAGCCTGGCTGAACCCATACAGCCCTTCCAGCCTGGAGATGAGGTTTGGATGAAGGAGTGGAAGAACAACCCATTGGCTCTTAAGTGGCGTGGTCTTGCTTGCAATGTCATCTTGCTTGCAACGCCTACCACGGTGAAAGTGGCCGAGGTGCCCCCCTGGATTGATCATTCTCGTCTGAAGTGGTCTGAGGGCCATTGGAACTGTGAGCAGAATCCTTCGGACCCCCTGAAGTTGAAGATCACCAGGAACCCCTGCCCCTAGCCCCACCGGAGTGGGTTAGGGCACGAGCCCCAGACGACCGGTCTGCTCCTATTGCACCAGAAGCCAGTGAGTCTACGCACACCCGAAGATTGAGGAACTGCACCGGCAGATGGGAGGATCTTTACCAGTTGAATTATCAGCCAGTCCTCAATTTGTGCCAGATTTAAATACAGACCCGCTGTACAGATAGTAGTAAGGAATGTGGATGGGCTAGGGAACATAATTGATAAGTGGGTAGAGTTGTTGGAGGATTACGGACGTCATATCCCCTTGTATTTTCATGATTGGTACATACCCGTTTGGGAACAAGCATTACCAAGGCAGCTGTGGCATATACCCATATACCCTTAGAAGGGTTTCGGCCGAGACCAACCTATCATAGGAGGTAAATGCCCGGGGAACCTAAAAGAACTGTAGTTGGGTTCTCTCACCCACCACTTCCTCCCACCATACTGGTCACAGTAGCATTCTTTCCTCCACCACCCACAAACCCTTTTTGAGTAGCAATAGCAGAGTGTATACAGTGTCAATTGACCACTCCAGTTCGACCAGAACCTGGGGACGACTAAGAGGCTCTACTGGGTGTGGCTGAACGGAAGGTTGGCTCACTCTCCAGGTATGCTGTGGTCTTGGTTACCTCCAGTTCTTCTTACAGTAATAATAACTGTTCTCCTTCTTATCTTCTTTTACGTATATAGGAGGTATTTCTTTGGAAAGACTATCCACGAGGAATTGTTGGTATCCTTGGTCTCCTTGAACCCCTGGAGTTCCTTGATCATGATGAAGTTGATGTTAACCCTGATGTGCATCTTGACCTTGAGGAGACCAATGACCAAAGAAAATGTTTTTGTAAAGCATGCTAAGCAGATGTTTCAAATATATGGCGAAAATGTCACCCTTTATTATGAACACCCTAGAAAGGTAGCTGACATGTCCCTCATCCCAGGACTAATCAGGGACCCTGACATTGTCTTGGCAGGCCTACTCAATAATCAAAGTGGCCTTTTCGTGACACCTCCTTCTGAAATGAATGATGCCACATACCGATATTTCCGGTTCTCCAGAACCACCCAGGGCTTGTGCTTTTGTTGTTATGCCTCTGGATCATGGAACACCAAATGGAAAGATTGGCCGCATGTCCAGCACCACCAACATAAAGGTTGGCTGGGAAATTACACACAGTGCACTGATAAGTTTTGGTTGTGGGGTTCCTTCAACGCCTCTTACCAAAGCAACACCACATCCTCAGATCTGTATCCATACTTTCCCCAATATACAGTCAACTTCACCGGACAGGGATCCATCTGTTCTGGCTGGCTGATCAAGGACCCCAATCTTTGGTTCTTGTATAATGGACTAGCCACTAATTACCACCCTGGTAATTATCAGTGTGTGGGAATAGGTGCCTTTACTTTCCCTGTGACTGTGGAGGCTTTTCCTCCTCTACCCTCTCTTAGAAACAGAAAGAGGAGAGAAGTCCAAGGGGAACAGTGCAATGATGAGATTTTCCTGGCCCGCTCTGTGGGTGCTGTTGATGGAGGCTTCGTTAGCATCCTCACCATTGGCATACATCCGGAAGTTGTGGCTGAACAAAATCGTGAATTTGCCCTAACATGCAGGTTGGAGAAAACCATCAATGCCACTACACATATCCTCTGACAGTTGCAGTCCGAGATTGAGGATTTGAACCAGATAGCAGCAGCTAATAGACTTGCTCTTGACTATCTCCTTGCCAAATCAGGACGTTTTTGTAAAATATCCCGGAAGGCAACTGCAGAGTGAAGTTTCATGACCTCAACAACACTATTGAGGATGAGTTGCCAAAATTACAGGCCCTTATAAATGATAACCAACCCAGTCAGAATCCTTGGGAATGGATGTGGTCTTGGGTCCCAGGAGTAGGATGGTTACATAGCCTTTTGGCCGCCATTGCGGTAGGAGGATTAGTCTTCCTAATACTTCTTTGCATCACCCCTTGCTGCATATCTCTAGTCAGAGGAATGGTGGCCCAAAGCATTAAGAATCTCACTGAAACCCACATCATGGCCATATACCGAGCCCTGCCCCCCCCCCGGCAGAAGAAGAGCATGAGTATGCTTGACTAATTCGTGAAATGCCCCCTGAAGAGATCCCCTTGAGAGACACAGTTGTCTATACCGGGGTTCAACATGAGAGTCAAGCTGGATAAACAACTGTAACTTGTTTCTAAGCTTGAAAGGGGGGAATGTGGCAAGGCCACCTGGAAGAGTTTTACCTTTACGTTTTATGTATAACCATAAATACTATAATAATGCTTAAATTGTTAAGGCTAGAAGTGCCTAAAATCTTAAGAATCAAGATTATATGCTTGCAACATACGCTTCTGGTTTCTTGTTGAATGATTTTTTTTTAATCTTAATGATTTCTTCATGAACTTTGTTCCAAAAGCTTTTTATCTCTTTACACCCCACCATATATGGTACATTGTTCCTATCTCGGTGTTACATCTCCAGCACACATTGGTTTTTTGCTTATAGATTTTTGCCGATTCCTCGGGGCGGGGTTAGGTACCACCGGTAGATCATTTTCATTAGATTCTCCCTTATTGTATAACATGCTGTGAACTTGATGTCAAATTTCCACAGCTAACATTATGTTGTGGCCAAAATCCTGCGCCCACTTTATCATAACATCCTTTAGCATCTCATCCTTGAGTTCCCATTCCAAAAGTAGATCATACATCCTAGATAGGGTCTTTTTATTAATTTGTACTAATTCCTTTTGTAAGAATGACTTCTTTTCTCCAAAACCAATTTTCTTATCCTGATTAAATATATGCACTATTAGGTGATAGTGAATCCAGCCGTTACAATACTGTTTAATTTCTTCATACAATTTGATTTTTAATTGGCCCTGTTCTACCTTTATTAATTGTTGGTAAGCTGCTCAATTTGTGTCCATGTTTGTCTTTTTTACCGTTATCATCTCCACTGGGGATGCCCACCAGGGTATTTGGGGCTCTAATAGTCTGTGGTACTTATCCCAGACCTTGTACAATGAAATTCTAACTATATGATTTAAAAGTCCTTATGCACTGCCACTTTGTTGTATGTTAGGTAGGCGTGCCATCCAAACCTCGTATTCCAACCTTCTAAATCTAATATATCAGCCTTCTTCAAGAAGGTGGGGTTGTTTTAAATGGTTGTTAAATGTGTTATGTTGATTTAGATTTTGTATTTGTGGGCTGGAGTGTTGTTTCAGGGCTCTTGTATTGTTTATTAGTGTGCATACATTGGTCTTGTGGCTTTTTTGGTATGTTTTTATTATTTTAATTTATATTATGTTCTGATATTTTTATTATGAATTTTGTGCAGTGAGTATTCTTATTATTTATTTTGTGCTTCGTATACTTGGTGTTGTGAACCACCCTGAGATTCAAAATCAATAAAATCAACAATCAAAAACAACATCAACAAGAAACACAACAACAAAAAGGTTTCCTACCGCTGTGTACGGAGGGTCGTGAGGGCAGCACCACTCCTCTTGGTCGATCCTGATGGTGTTGATGTTCCTGGCGCTGGTCCAGACTGGATCCCGCGGAGAGCAGAAGATGGTATCTCTGCAGCACAACTCTGGTGTCCACGTTGCCTTGGCCTGGCACTACTCCGGATGTTCTGTCAGGAGGAGAAAGGGGCTCGTTGAGAAACGTCCCATCCAAACAGCCCACCAGATGTCCCAATAGCCCACCAGATGCCTCACTCACCTGGCATGCAGCTCAGGAAGTCCTGCGGGTAAGGTTCCCTGTGAACACAGTGGAGCAGCCACCTCAAAAAGCGCTGGACCCTGCCGTTCCGATGTCTATAGGCCTGCTGCATGATGTTCAGGCAGCTCCTCCCTGTCTGCCTAAGCTCTTCTTCCTCGTGCTGCTGCATCTCTTCTAGCCCTGAGTGGCAAGGGAGAAAGGTTGAGCAAGGTGGAGATACACAGGAAAAGAGCCATCCATCAACAATATGAAAACAGCCGTCAGGTGTGTTTGTGTGTGAGAGAGAGAGCAGTGAAGTCACATTCCAATTCTCTTTGCATGTTCATCTTGTGGCACCTCTGTCTGAACATACATCTGGGAATTTGCCTTCCCCTGAAGACCTTTCTCAGCAGAAGCATCCCTCCCTGCCCTCCGTATGTCTCACTCACATGTTCCATAGGATGCCATGTCTTGATCGTGGATGAAACTGGCATCCCGGAAAGCCAGATGACCTAGAGAGAGAGAGAGAGGGCAAGAAAAGGGACGTCATCTCGGTGCAAAGCAAGCAGAGACAGAGGCAGCTCGGCAGGAGGACAGGTATGCTCTCTAGAGGCCTCCACCCTCACGGAGCACTCAGAGCAAGATCTGGGCGCAGATGGAGGCCTACCTAGCAGGTGGCCTAGGGACATGCCCATCCTCCCTGCCATCGTTACCAAGACGTTTCTGTCCATCCCTACAGGGAAGAACGTTGCTTGACTTACCCAGAAGCAGAGCTGCCACCCTGGAGACTGCTGGCAGCCTGTTGGCAGACGGCTTCGTACATGATAAGGCAGCAGTCCGAAGGATGTCCTTGCTGAAGGTCTTGCTCTGTGGGCAAAGACAAAGGAGAAGTGGCATCAGAGAGGCTTGAGAGCGCAGCAGAAGAGCCTTGCACTCCCAAAGACATGCCTGGGCAAAGCTGCCAACAAAGCAGAGGGACCTTACCATATGCTTGGCAGCCTGGTGGAGAGCAAAGTGGAGGCTAAATTTGTTGGGATGAGCCCACCACTTGACTTCTGGGGCTAGATGGGAAAGAGCCCTCCTTGCGGCCTGCAACACAAGAAGAGAAGAGGGTTACAAATTGCAGTACATAGTCTCGGAAGCTCCTGAGAACAATCCCTCCCTCCTACTGCATAAGTCCACCTCTTTGGCCCTCACCTTGGCCACTTCGTCCTCATCTTCGAGGTGAATGAGGACCACAAGCAGTTCATTAATGGCTTCCTCTTCTGTTGTTGTATATGGGAAGTCTTTGGTCTCTCACCCAGCCCCGAAGCAGCCCCAGATGTTCGATGGCTGATGCCCGGACGGAGTCTTCCTCCTGTAGGCAGAAAATATCAGAGGTTGTGTTTCTCATCTGATCACTTTCCAGAGGAACACCCTCCTGAAGCCAGAACATCTCCGCTGCATGCCAGTCTAAACCCCACCCTTCCTCTTCCAAAGCATTCCTCCACCACCGGGTGTGATGTCATGTTTCCCCTCATACTCACATGGGCAGCCAGGCTGCAGTAGGTTTCTGCCAGCATATTCAGGTCTTCCTCTTCCAGCTCCCTGGAATGGTAGGCTTGGTCTACCAGCTCTATCAATTCTGGGAGGACATCAGCTTCTACATAAGAGAGGGAATCCAGCAGCAAGAGCCGCAGAAGCGAAGGGTCCTACACAAAGAGAGAATCTTTTCAAAGGTCTGAAAGGCCTCATGCCTTTTAGCACAGGCCCTTCAGTATTGTGCCAGCAAAAGAGTGCTGGGCCATGATTAGAATCAAGATCTGTACCCCCCCTCCCTCCCTCTGAGCATCACTTGCCATGTCAGAGTCCAGAAGCAGGGATATCCCTCTGACGCTGAGCTTCCGGACTTGCAGGTGGTCATGTTTCAGCCAGTTGAGGAGCTGCTCCAGTGTATCTTCACAGGGATAGACCTCCAGACGGCAGCTGAGCAGCTAAAGAGGCCCAAAGAGAAAGAAACTCTTCAGGGATGAGCGGCTGAGGCAGGTTCTCCTTTTACCCACCATTTGCAATTCTGCATAGAGCAAACCCACTGAAGTGAATGGACCAAAGTTTGTCATGTACATCAAATCCAATGGGTCTACTCTGAGGAGCACTAAAACAGGCAACAGTCCTTAGGCTCAAAGTAGCCCAACACTCGGCAGAAACCAAGCCAGGACCTCCTTGCTGCACCCATTTCCTCCCGCGTCAGTCCCCCTCACCTCGATGTAGATAGCTGCCGCGACTTGTGGCATCCCGGCAAAATCCTGGTCCTCGAGAGCAGCGATGATGCTTTCCACCATGGGAGGGATCCACCAGCGTCGCTTTCCGACAGCTCTGAAATGGAGAAGCAGATCTTGGTAAGGAAGGGAAAGACACCGCAGGAAGCAAACAGGGGCACAGTCCGATCCCGTGCCTTCAGCTCCGTTTGCCAGACCACTGGGGAAGGTCACCGCGTTCTTCCTCTTACCTCACCATGGCAGACAACCCCTGGCTGAAAGTCTCCCGGCAGAAAAGTTGGTCAACGATGGCCGCCTCCACTTGCTCTCCAGTGGTGCCAAGAAGGAGGTGCAGAACTTCCTTAGCCCCTCTGGAACCAAAGCAAGACCAGTTTTACCAGGAGGGTCATTGGCACACACTCAAATTCTTTCCCCGTCCTTCCTCCCTAGCAGCCGCCTGAAGGAGAGCCTCCCTTGGAAAACCAAGCTGGACTGGAAACCCCCCGAGGTTGAAGGGGAAAGGACTCCATTGGTCCCCTTGCAACACACTACTCACCCGAGGAATTCCTGGTCATAGTGGAAGTTCATAACCATCCCCAGGAGAGCGATCAGCAGCTGTGGGAAGTTCCGGCGCACAGCAGCCTTGTAGTCCTCCATCCTGAGGATGGCGTGCAACAGGCTGGTGAGATGTTGCTGGAAGAGAGAGGGGTGCAAGTCACTTTCTCTGCTTTTCTGCAGAATACAGGAATCCCTAGATATTACCCTGGGAAGAAGGAAGCCAGAAAGCAGGTGGTTGGTCCTTACCACTTTGGTGGCAGATTCCGCCAAGGGGCTTTGGTAAATCTGCTTGGCCATGAGATGGATCAGCTTGTTCTGGATCGGCCGATGCTAAAACCTCCCTCCAAACCCTCTCACAGTCTCTGTGAATGCAAAAACAAAAGCAATGGTCAGATTCAAGTCTTCTGCTTGCTGCCATGCTCCAGAGAGAGGAAATGGCAGCAAGGGCTTTCTGAGCAAGCCCTGCAGCTTGCCAACCTTCCCCTTAGCCCAGTACAACCTGGAGGGCTCCATACCTGAAGGAAACTGGAGGAGATATTGCAACCACTTTCGCCAGGTGGTGGTGCGACAAGATGGACAACGCGAAGACGGCCATGCTTCTGCCTTGCACTGTAGGCCCCTGGCTGATCTTATAGAAGGCCTCCAGCAGCACCTTCACCTGTCAGAGAAAAGGAGAGGGTTGCTTGGAGAGTACAAGGAAGCGGGGCTGTCTGCAGGCGGATCCCTCCATCCCTCATTGAAAGAGGGACCCTTGACCTGTGCCACCACAGCCTCTTCCTTCCAAGGTACCACTCAGGGTCCTGGGGAGTATTGGACCCAGGCAGCTCCAGGGCACCAGTTCCCCTATCCATTGTGGGCCAAGAGAAGAAGCTTGCCAGTCTGCTCCCAGAAGGAGGAGGATTCCCCATCCCTGAATCCATGTTTCTCAGGACCCTTGGCTGAGGTTCTTGTCCTGACATTGCCAGGCCCCTCTCAACTAACATGTGTCCTGGCCACCCAATGGCATGAGGTTGCCTCCCCTACACCAAGCAGAGAATCTTCTTCTCTCCTACCTTTGCAGATGCCTTACCTCCACTTTTGTGCCGCCAAACTGCTTGATGAATTCTTGCAGTAAGTGGGAGATATCCAACGGGTTGAAGCTGCTCTCGACAACCAGGTCTCTGGCCAGGAAGCACATGGCCTCCAAGAGCTGCTCCGCAGGGAGAAAGGCGCCAAAGACCTGAAGCAAGAGAGGAAGGTCAGAGATGCCCACAGGGCAGGGCTGGGGAGCAGAAAGCCCAGGTGCTGCCTCTGCAGAACCCAGAACATGTGGCTTGAGAGACAGCGACTTACCCTGGCAAGAGAGTAACAATTATTCACGAACAGTTCAGGAACCGGTCCTCCGGTGGATTTGAGGACCTTCTCAGCTCTGAAGATGAGCGTTTGGTTCCATGACGTTCGTGCCAGCGTCTCTGCAAAGGAAAGCCAAAGGGTTAGTTTGGGTCTTGCTCACCCCCACCCCATGCTGGGATGCATTCTTCCAGTCTTACCTTCGTTGTGCCGCAGGATGGGCAGAAGATGGCAGAGAGCCTCTGCTGCCCGCTGCCTGCTCTCCGGGTCTGGATCCAGTGCACAAAGACAGGAAATCGCCACCAGTTGGCCAAGGGAGGATGCAGGAAGCGCTACCGATGGCTGAGAAGAAACCCAGAGAAGGGACTGATAAGAGAAGCAACCCATCACCATTTTTCCTATAACAGTTTTATTAAATCTTCCAAACATTCCAAAACATTTAGCATCCTCTACAGAAAAAAAATGATTTCTTTTTGACTTCCCACCCCTCTTTTCCTAATGTTTGCTTTTTTTCTTCTTTTCTCAGCCGTCTTACTCACTATGGCCCAGCTCTGTTCTCAAAATTGGGTATGTGCTGGGATGCCTGATTGTCCCTTGAGCACCTTGCAGGGTGGGCCTAGAAGCAGCAGCCTGAAGGCCTTGACAGCCCTGCATGGTTGCAATGCTTCCCTTCAGTAAAGCCACTTCCAAGCTGCAGAGGAGGTGGGATTGGAGGCTTCATGCCCTCCCCCCACATACTCAGGGGCTGGCTTGCAGCCCCCGCAAGAGCAAGGAATCCTCGGGCGCGTCATCTCCCTTGCCAGCCAATCGGCTGGCCCGGGAGGAGTGGCCCGCGCTATTTAGGGCCGGCGCCTGAGGATTTCCCTCTTTCTGCCAGTGCCCTAGCTGCTCCAGTTTTCCCACCCTCCCACCCTTTAGGTTTGGCTCTTTGACATTGCTATGGACTTCGGTTGGTCGCTGTCAAGGGGCCTGGCAGGATTTTTTTCCACTTGGCAAATTGGCACCAGCCATTTGGCTTTTTGCCTACCTCATAGCAAATCGTCACAACTTCCTCGGCATTGGCGGTTAGGCATTGTTAAGGGTATTGTTATGCAGATGAGTGGGGGGGGGCAGGAAGCACCATCACCTTCCCCCATATCGAAGGGTAGTCCGGTAAAGGATTCCGTGGGGCGTTGCCCTGTCCGAAGCCTATGGAGGTGTGGGCCTAAGGCACGCCCCCGAGCGGTGACCCCGGGGGAGCTCCTAGTTGATGTACATCAGCAGGACTCCCCCTACTGGTGGTTAACCCTTGCCAGTCTTCTAGCAATCAGGCTGAAGCCGGTTAGTCGATAGGACCAAAGCCTAAGCCAATACCGCTCAATTCCTGTAATCAATAAAGTTGTGGCCTAATTTTGCCCATTAACCTAAAATACTGGTGTCCTGTGTCTTTATTTCCATGGGGGAGGCGGGAACTCGCCACGCAACTCACATATTCCTGGATCTTCTGCAGGAGGGCAGAAAGATCTCGGAGCGCCTTCCTTCGGATCTTCCCATTCTTCATCCTTGTGACCACATCCGCAAGTCTGTTCTTCAGCTGGTCCCTCGCTGATGCTTTCAGGAGGAAGATCAGCCGGAGAAGCTGTGGTTGGGATGCTGAGGGGAGACAGGAGTAGCACTTTTGTCAAAAGGGTTTATTGCCTCCCATCCTTCAAAGACCCCAAGCACCACCACCATAGAAATGGACCGGGTTTTTTTTTAAAAGCAATTGATTATGGGGGAGGGGATTAGCACAGGATTACCTTGGAGGAAGTTCCTCCCCATCTTCCAGGCTGATTTCTGATATTTCATCTTCATCAAAATCAATTCCCTGTCCATGAGAAAAGAAAAGAGAAACAGGAATGTCAGAATGTGAAGAATGGATCAGACCCATTCATGTTTTTGTGTTCATCAGGAAAGCACAGACGAGGTAGGTTGGGAAACAAACTGAAAATCTCTGGCCTCCATTTCCTTAGAGACCTTACTCATCCTTCTATTCATTTAAGCCTTCGGTTAAGAGTTTGGGTGTAATCCTTGACACCTCCCTTTCCACGGAGGCGCAGGTTACAACAGCCAAGGCGACATTTTTCCACCTTCGCCTCATCAAGCAGTTGGTCCCTTACCTTTCCTGCCCCAACCTGGCCACAGTGATCCATGCGATGGTCACCTCCAGGCTTGACTACTGTAATTCGCTCTACGTGGGGCTGCCCTTGAAGCTGTCCCAGAAACTCCAGCGGGTGCAGAATGCTGCAGCGAGGCTCCTCACGGGGTCTCTGCCATGGGAGCATATTCACCCAGTGCTTTTCCAGCTGCACTGGCTCCCGGTGGAGTACAGGGTCAGATTTAAGGTGCTGGTTTTGACCTTTAAAGCCCTTCACAGCCTAGGACCCTCGTACCTACGGGACCGCCTCTCCTGGTATGCCCCACAGAGGACCTTAAGGTCCATATATAGCAACACCCTAGAGGTCCCGGGCCCTAAGGAAGTTAGATTAGCCTCAACCAGAGCCAGGGCCTTCTCAACACTGGCTCCGGCCTGGTGGAACGCTCTGTCTCATGAGACCAGGGCCCTGCAGGATCTGATTTCTTTCCGCAGGGCCTGTAAGACAGAGTTGTTCCACCTGACCTTTGGCTTAGAATCAGTTTGATTCCCTCCCCCTCTTTCTATTTCCTTTTCCCTCCTGTGAAGAGGCTGCATCCTAATGTTTTAATGTTGTATCTTAATCTTTTAAATTGTATTTTAATCAACTTTTTTTTATTATTGGTTGTTAGCCACCCTGAGCCCGGTCTTGGCTGGGGAGGGTGGGGTATAAATAAAATTTATTATTATTAGTAAAGGAGCCCCTTTACTACATGGTGGCAGCGGTGGGATGGAACTTCCCTGCAGAAAGGCACTTTGATTTTAAATTGGCACGAATCTTTTGTGTACTACAGGCGTTTTATTTTTTTGAGATAGAGATAGTCAGGAATTATGGAAGCTGGGGCTTTACAGGAATACACTTTGCGAACTGTGGACGAATGGGGTCCAGGTGGAGAAGACAAGCCCTCCCCCAACCTCCAAGTCCCAGAGCGGAATCCGCCTCCTGGTTTTCGGGAGATCCCAAGTGGGAGAGAGAGCTGGTGGACGCCAGCGAATTAAGAACTGTTCAGAAGGGTGGGCAAGAGTCCTGCAACTTGGGGAGAGAGAGGGGCACACCACTTAACCACCCCTTGTCACCTCGTGAGGAGGTGGAAGCTGGGATGGCCTCCACACCTCCTAGAGGGAACGATCTTGTTTATGCAGAGCCTAAAGAGATGGAGTTTTCAGAGGTCGATGCGGTTGAGTGGCTGCAAAACCCAGGCCAAGGTGGATACCGGTGCCGTGATAAGTTTCCAAAGATGGGCCAGTCCATTCTTATGGGGCCGAGAGTCAGCCGGATGGCTTATGAGTATCAAGATCTGCCGCAGCAGCTGCAAGAAGTGTCTGTGGGAGACTACCATCGATAAGAACTTACCGTATTTTCGCCCTATAAGATGCACTTTTTCCCCTCCAAAAATGAAGGGGAAATGTGTGTGCGTCCTATGGGGCGAATGCAGGCTTTCGCTGAAGCCTGGAGAGCGAGGGGGGTCGGTGCGCACCGACCCCTCTCGCTCTCCAGGCTTCAGGAAGCTATCCGCTAGCCGTGGGAGACCCAGCTCTCCCAGGGCTAGCGGAGACCTTGCTGGCACCCAGAAGCTTGGGGCGCGCTGAGCTCCGCACGCCCCAAGCTTCGGGATTAGCGCAGCGCACCTGGGGGGGAAATAAAAATTTTTCCCCTTTATTCCCCCCCCCCAAAAAAACTAGGTGCGTCCTATGGGCCGGTGTGTCCTATGGGGCGAAAAATACGGTAAGCAGCTGATGCTAATAGAGCAACTTATGCGCCACCTGTCTCCAGAAATTGCGAGTTTGGTTGCTGACCAAAGTCCACGATCTTTAGAGGAGGCCACAGAATTCGCAGAATCTTTTAGACTAAATCATTCTCATCTGGTAAACAGGGGACCGGCTGGTGGGTACAGACCGACAGCCTCAGCTTCTGGCGGGAGGTCTGGCCCTCCCGTTAAAGATCAAAGCAGGGGTCCCCCTACTCCTGCAAAAGACTCCTCTACAGCAGGTGGGGAACGTGCTAAATTGTCTCTGAGTTCCAGACTGTGCTTTTATTGTAAGAAACCGGGGCATATAAAAGCAGTTTGCCCCCAATTAAGTGAAAAGAAGCCTCCAGTTTTGACTTCGACTCCTGCGGTGCGCATGATCCAGCAACCGGAGGAAGATTGGGAAGCGGAACAGCAAAAATCAGGAATTAGGGAAAGCCCGGTCCCGGAGGGGAAGGGTGGGGCAGCTCCTGACGCTATAGCTTCCAAACCAGCTGTAGCCACTTCAAGTGCAGTTATTGTGGGACCTGTGAGTACTGGTGCTGGTCCAAGTGTGCCTCATGTGAAGTGGGCTAATTCAAAGTTTACAGCCCCCATTGAGATCAACGGAATTGCTGTGAACTCTTTCCGAGACACTGGGTCTGACATTACCAGTATGCCCAGAGATTTGGTTTCGCCCATACAGATGCAGGCTAAACCCTTAAAGATTAGCCCCTATGGTGTGAATGAGATTTTTCAACCTACTGCCATTGTTCCAGTATCGTATAAGGGTACTATGGAAACCACCTAACTATAGTACATGATCCTGAAGTGTGCAAAAGTCCTGTCCTGGTGGGGAACGATTTGGGATTTAAGGTTTAGCAACAACAACTTGCGGTGAACTCTTTTTCCATCAAGGTCTTACCCACCCAGGTACAGGGGATGGGAAACTGGGGAACAACACCTCAAGGTTTGAGGGCTGAGGGAAGCCTTATCCCGGATGGGAGGGGTGAAGGTTGGGCGCCTGATGCTATAACTCCCAAAACCACTGGAACTGCTGTTCCTGAGAAATCGGTTGGGAAGAGGGTTGGCTTAATACGTACTGCCACCCCTGGTGTTAACTGGCCCACCTCAGCGTCTAGCACACCTCCCAGCGTTCACCTTCATCGAATTGTTGTGCCTTCCTTTCGAAGCATAGACTCTGATATTGTGACTCTGCCAAAAGACTTAGTTTTGTCCCAGCTGAACCAGTCCAATTTTCGGAAGAGTAATCCTAGTGGTGGAAACTTAATTCCCCAATCTGCAACAGTTGATTCAGTTCCCTCCCAGGATTTTATGGGGGATCCCTTTGTTCCAGTCCCTGAACCCCAAGTTTGTGCAAACCTTACTTTGGGGGAAGGGGTTTTGAAATCTACAGTTCCTTTCCAGCAGCTTGCAGCAACCCTCTAGCGACGCAGACTGTGAAAGATGCAAGCGTATCCTGTCAGCCAAAAGCTGAGAGGCAAGAAGATACTATGAATCAGCAGCTTTCTGCTGGTTGAAAGAATGGCTGCTTCTTGAAAACACTGACATTTTGGATTTAGAAGGTTTCAACAATGTGTTTGGATGGCATGCATATCTGTGGTATGACAAGGTCAAAGCGCATAAAGCATTTAAAAACCATATTGTCAGGAAAGCACTGTTTAATGTTTGGATAAGATACAAGGATTTATTGGAAAACAAAACTCCAAGGTGGCTGTCACCAATGGAAGCGAAAGCCTTGAAAAAGCTCAATATGGAGGTCAAATGGCCAAAATATTGGGAAATTTTGGAACAAGATGGAGACAGATTGAAATTGCAGAGTTTTGAAAAACTAAAAAACAAAGTGCGAGACTGGCTTCATTATTATCAGATAATGGAGGCATACAATTTGGATAAGAAAATTGGCTTCCAGGTGGAAAAATCAAAATTAGAAATTGAACTGTTAGAACCCAAAACTAAGAATTTGTCAAGAATGTATAACTTGCTGCTGAAATGGAATACTCAGGATGAAACGGTGAAATCTGCTATGATTAAATGGGCACAAGATGTTGGACATAACATCATGTTTGCTGACTAGGAACAGTTATGGACCACAGGTATGAAGTTTACGGCATGTAATGCCCTAAGAGAGAATATTATGAAAATGATATACAGGTGGTACATAACCCCAGTCAAGCTTGCAAAAATCTACCATTTGCCTGATAATAAATGTTGGAAATGTAAAGAAACTGAAGGTACATTTTTTCACCTTTGGTGGACGTGCCCAAAGATTAAGGCTTTCTGGGAGATGATATACAGTGGTGCCCCGCAAGACGAATGCCTTGCAAGACGGAAAACCGCTAGACGAAAGGGTTTTCCGTTTGGAGGTGCTTCGCAGGACGAATTCCCCTATGGGCTTGCTTCGCAAGACGAAAATGTCTTGCGAGTCTTGACATTTTTTTCGCTTTTCCCCCTTTATCTATTCTGCTTAGCCTTTAATAGCCTTTAATTGCAATTTAGCAGCTAATATCCTAAGCTTTTAATCCTTTAATAGCATCTAAACCGCTAATAGCGCTAATAGCGCTAATCCGTCAATGGGCTTGCTTCGCAAGACGAAAAACCGCTAGACGAAGACTCTCGCGGAACGGATTAACTCCGCCTTGCGAGGCACCACTGTATAATGAATTAAAAAGGTATTTAAATATACCTTCTTGAAGAAACCAGAGGCCTTTCTCCTGGGCATAGTCGGCCAATCGGTGTTAAAAAAGATAGAACTTTCTTTATGTATGCTACAACAGCAGCAAGAATACTCATTGCAAAGTATTGGAATACACAAGAGTTACCCACACTGGAGGAATGGCAGATGAAAATGATGGACTACATGGAATTGGCGGAAATGACTGGCAGAATCCGTGACCAGGGAGAAGAGTTGGTGGAAGAAGATTGGAAGAAATTCAAAGATTATTTACAGAAATATTGCAAAATTAATGAATGTTAGAGTGATGTTGGATTGAAGTTAAGTGGCTTCTAGCTGTACAGGCTTTAAAGTTATAAATATATCAAGATTAAGGATTAGGATTAATAAGGTTAAAAGAAATGGAAAAATTGGTTTTTAATAGGTAAAAATTTAATGTTATAATATTG